ATAGGCTGACTTACTGTTTATTGCTTCAATTAAATTGTGTTTTTATCTGTTTATTCATCCAGCTAAGCCACGAGTAGTGATGGAAGATTTGGGATAACAAACAGATACTGACGTGTCCAGTTTGTTGTGATACGTTCACAGACACTTCACGACTTTTACATAATCTCGATTGCAGCCATTCTGTATGCACAACTTGTTTGAAGAAAGCGATTGAAGGCAGAAATGCAACTTGTCCATTGTGCAAGGTAGTAAATGAGCTGAAACAGTGTGATAAAACTTACATTTCAAGTGGCTTCTCTGGCAAATGTCCTATAGAAACTTTTCGGAAAAGAGATGTACACAATGTGATGAAAGTAATGCAGCTATTAAGTTTTGCGAAGAGTGTAATGAAATTTATATGCAATGAGTGCACAATTGCCCACAGACGCACTAAACTTACAAAAGGCCATAGACTCACGGACATTGCACATGACGAGGGCAGTAGCCGAAATCAAATTTGAGCAAGAGTATTGCAGTGTTGAACAGCACAGTGATTACATTCTTAATTTATATTGTATAAAATGCCATACAGTTATTTTGCGAAAAAATGTGCTCATGAAAAGCATTTTGAACCATCAAACAAAACCTTTGGCAGAAGTTGTTAAAGAAAAGAACAAGGAATTGAAATCAATTGTACAAGAAAATAAAACAAAATGAACATTACAAATCAACAGAGATACTTGAAAAGAAAACTGCAATGACGAAAGAAATGGAAGAAAAAATGAAACTCGGCTAACAATACAGTTTGATAGTTTATAGGAAAGTCTTGGAGGACAGGTGTGACGCACTGAAAAGTCAGGTCGAGAATAAAGCTAAAACATATATTGAAAACACAAGTGATTTATTACGAAATATGCAAGATAGATTAAAGGAAGCAGAACTACTTTCACATGAGAAAAAATGCGATGACCTTTATCAGATCATGTCGCGATATGATAAAGGCGCTTAAAAGATGTGAAAGAAACATTTCAAAAATTCCAAAAGAGTTTGAGTTACGTTTCAGTCAAGTATGTACGACAGACGATTTCGAAAAAACTTGTCAACGCCTTAGGATCAATCCAAGATGAAAGTCATCAAAGTATTAACAATAAGTTATCTACTAGTTTAGGCTTAACTTTAATTATTCTTTGGCAACAGCTATTACCTAAAATACATATGTAACAGTCAAAGAAAACCTATAAACTGAAACATATATTACAAATGCGTTATTCATGCAATCGAATATTTACTCAGAAAAAAATGAGATACTCAAAGAAATTGTTATTAAGCATCTCGACATTGTTTTTCAAACCATTATTTGGTATGTTATTACATAAAATGAAAGGATAATATATAGATGTACCTAAATATAACAAAAATTGACAGTAAATGCTCTTTAAAACAACACGCCTTCAGATGAGTAAAATAGATCTACAAAAATATAACTTAAAATAATAGTTAATTGTTAAAGAAATTTATAAATAATTTTAAAAATTCGTGTTTAACTTTGAAAATATAGTTAAAATTTGGCATATTAGTACTGTTTCTATCTTTCTTTCACCCGTTAGCTTAAAGAACTTGTAGGAATTCTTCATATTCGTGGTAATTTAATGTCTTGGTAATTTGGTTTTAAACCTATTGACAAGGCAGCTTAGAACTTCGTTACTTACTCGTTAGAGAAACAATTTTTTAAGTTTTCTGAAATTTATAGAAGAATCACACAAGTCCTGAGTCTTCGCTTGCTTTAAGCATTGTTCAAATAGATCTAAGTTTAATCTTAGTACTTTTGTTTCGTTTAAGGTCGGGAAAGAAATGAATGAGTCAGGGTCCTTTGGGTTTAAAGTCAAAGAGGCATCGTCGGCGTTGCCTGGCGATTCACAGGCAAATACTCAACTGATTTGGATGTTCTCAATCTTTGTCAATATCGGAGCAGAGGAGAAAGGCCATTTCCTGAGCTTTCATATAGATCTAGTAAGCTCAACTCAACCAAGGAACCACGGTCCATTAATAACGAAACCTTCACACTACAGAATGTTCATTCACCAAAAGTAGTAGATATTCCCAAACCTGTATGTCTTTTAAAAAAGAATATACCAATAGGCGAGAGAAAATTACTAGGTTTAGACAGTGTTAAGGCAATGGTGAATTTGCGATTTCAGACATGGGGGTTAAATGGTTATTGGAGGATTGATGATGACTCGATTGAAATGTTTAGCAAGTCACAAGAGGAAGCTGGTCATTGTATGCAACTGCTAAAAGGAAACGCTTCTTGAAAAAACAATTCCGCTCCGGAAAGATTCTAAATTTATTGTTGAATCTGATAAATGGCAGATTATGACAGGGATGTTGAGGAAAAGACATCAAGAACAGGTAAGATAATTTCATAGAATTGGAAATGTAAGAATGATCAGTTAGTGCGTCAATTCATACAGATATGCATACGTTTCAAGTCAGATGATATTGGCAATATTATTGTTTATTATAGTAATTAATTTGCTGCATATACAAATCTTATTCAAGGAAAATAAAATGTAAAGAAGATATATTATATATGAAATATCAAAACATCTTACATAAAATGATATGATTGACATTGTAAAATGAAAATGTATTAAAATATTAAGTTATATTATTTAATATCAAGATATTTTGATGAAACAATTTCAACTATTGTTCTGTTATCATTCATTTTGTCGGGTATATATATAGTTATGTATAAACTTGTTTGAGCAAATTTTACATGTTTAAAGCAACAATGATGAGAAAAGACAAAAATTCTAGTTTGATTTCCTGTTTATTGTTTTAATTACATTTTATCTCTTTCAGTGAGTGTTGGTTTTCACAAGGATTTTAAGTCTTTTGGATAATGGTTCAGAAACGGACTTAATATTTACAAATATCATGCGGGATGTGGTTTAATATGACGAATATTATTTATTTCAGGTTCAAATAGATGTAAATCATGCTAATTGTGAAGTGACTGTTTACTCAACATCAATGTTCATCCTAAAAGACTCATGCGACATCATACGGTTTTTCCTGCGAGATAACCAAATGAAAACGGTAACACTACGCTATGACGAGCCCGTACTTGCTTTTATTATAAAACACAAACGAATATTAAAAAGAATTTGTCAAAGCCTTTCGCAATATTGCCTTGATATATCAACTGTTGACAAAACAAATATCCGCTTGAGAGGCATCGGTTTTGGTGTTGGACGGGCCATGCAAATGGTGAACAGCTTAGCATCAAAGTATGCTAAATCAACTGATGAGGATCGGTTTGATTCTGATAGCGAAACGGATGAAGACGAGGAAGAAAGATTCGCAGAGGACGCTGATGAGGCACAAGCAGTAGAGGCGTCTAATGTAACTGTTCAGATTAGTCTTGCTCTTGAAGATGATACGGAAGCAGCTGTATGTGCGTTATGTTTTCCAGGCGATGATAGGCTGTTATATGTAGTAGCAGGAAATATGATTGAATTACCTGTCGAGGCTCTGGTCAATGCCGCTGATAAAACGTTAAAACACAATGGTGGACTTGCAAAAGCTCTAGTTTTGAAAGGTTTGTCGAATTTATATTCGTTCAATGTCATAATTAGTAGTAAAAGTTTGCTAAAACAAGGGAGACAATGCAGCTTTAACACATTGATAGTACATATAGCTTAGATAAACATTATCTTTTATACTTGTGTACAAGTGGATAAACCTTTTTTTTTTTAAATAATACTTATGTTTCCTTCAATTGTTTTACAGGTGGACGCTCTATTCAAGAGGAATGCACATTTCACGTTCAGAATAATGGAAATGTTGAGATAGGACAAGTGTTCTGCTCAGATGCAGGAACACTGCGGAGTTCGGTTATAATGCACGCAGTTGGTCCAAAGTGGATTGATGGCAACCACGAGGAAAAGGATAAACTGTTTGAATGTGTAACAAATTGTTTAAGAAGTGCTTCCAAACGCAAGATTGCATCGGTTGCATTTCCAGCTATAAGTGCTGGAACGTACAGATTTCCGGTTAAGGAGGCAACCCTCACTATCATGAAAGCTGTCAAAGATTTTCTAGAACAGGAACCACGCTGTAGTATTCGAGAAATTTATTTTTGCGACAGAGACATGGACACAGCAAGTGAATTTGTAGTGTCAATGAAAGGTACCTTCCATGGTGATGATATTATTCTATCTGGGGCACAAGCCCTGCCAAAATCTGCTGAAAATGTTGAAAATGGAAGAAATGATAAACGCCAAATTTTGTTTTTCTAACTGCATTAATTTCCTTAAATTCATTTAGGGGTAAATTTATGTTGGTGATATTATTATCATCCAAGGGTATATATAGTGGATGAAGAGGTGCAAGTCAAAATACGTCAGTGTTAGTCTGTACGTTGAAAAGTTTTGCCCTAGATATATGTTCCTTGTACTGAGTTAGCAAAGTGTGCTTAGGGACATTTGTTGTTTTTTTCTCTAGTGAAAATGCGCTTAAAAATGTAAAAATATTTAACCAAACATGTGTATATATATTAACATGCAATGACTGTTTTATTAAGAAGTAAAATGCATGACATGTTTTTAAATTTTATGAAAAAAAAAATATCGTAATTAAACATTTTATTGAAAAATAGGAAAGAGGTGATCTTAAGCTGCAGTCTTGTTCTGTTAGTGTTTGTTATTAATATTTAATGCATTTAGTTCTTAAATATTTAGGAAAAGTGTATGATTAACTGGCAATGTGATACCCTAATCATTGTGTTAGAACTTTTTAGCTACATGGTTCATTTCGATTCTATTTTACAATATCACCATGTCTGTTTTCTACAAGATATACCATGGACTTAAAGATCATAAAGTCTCTACATTAAAGTTAAGTACATGTGCAGCTTCTCGTGTTTTTCTGCAACATACATATCCGATAGTGTTGATGTAAATAATATATTATTATATTATCTATATGTATCATATGCTTATCTAGTTTGTTAAATAGCAGTAAATTTCTAGTCGTAAAATGTTGATATACAACACGCTTTTGCCTAGTACTCAATGTATTTTCATTGTCAGTTTTTTTCATTTTTTTCGCAATCGTTCAAGAGCAAAATACGAAATGAAACATTTTACGGTCAAACGTTATTACCTTTTAAACTGGTGATTTTAATTCAATGAATATTGTGGTTATCTAGCTATTTATTAGAATAAATATATATCTTATAAATGGTTTGACGATATTCATTTACATTGTGTGTCTTCTGAAAGAAAATAAAACAATAACAACACAAAAACGTACATTTATTCAGACTGGTTATTGCCGAACAAGTCTAAACCACATTATATAAAGTAATAACTTGAAAATGATGGGCAGTTGTTTTTTTTTTATATCCTTCTGAGTTCTGTTTTATCCTATTTCTGCTTTGGTTGTAACAAGTCTCTGTAACAATAATGACAGGTTTACACCGGAAGTGATTCCAAGAACGAGGAAGAACGCCATCATCATACCTGCTCTACCCATCATAGAAGGTTCCACTTCTCTAAATAAATAGAACATTGCATATATTAATAAAATGTTCTGTAAAATAATTAAATCTAAAATAAAGATTTATAACTTTTCTAGAAATATCGAAGCATTAAATTTTTATAAAGGAAAGTTAATATAAGCTTCATTTTTCAAAATGAATACACACAGTCTCACTGTGAAAAGCTGTCAAAAATGCAATTTGTCTTGCATTTCACAATGATAAACGATGATCTCTTTAAAATGTTTTGAATTTATATACATATAAATATATGCCAATCTTCGGAAACGACAAATGAGTTAAATAACAAATTACATAGACCATATGCTAGTCTTTCTTTAAAATTTGATTATCATTTATTCTATCATTGGGACAGTAAATTCTTAAATTGTAAAGATTCGTTTCAAAAGATCTTTTATACTTTTGGCATTGAAAATTATGTCTTTGCCAGACCTGCAACTCATGATGTCTGTTTGGCGAAACAACACAGTATATATCCAGGAAAGATGATTTGGGCTAACCTCGGGTGTTACAAACTTCAAAGCAACGCCAGGGGCCAAAACCACCCCACCTGCTGGAGCTAAAAGATGTATAGACTCCAGCTATTGAACCAATTTAGTCATCTCTTACGATCACGAAATATTTTATGAAGTTAAAATAAACGCATTTCTGGGGCATACTGGGCCATTCGGGGTTGATACAGCAGTATCAAAAGAATGATAAGAGAGAACTTACTTAGGTCCATACATCATGGGTAAGACTGCTATAGTAACCGCTCGTGGAATGCCATGACAACTCCGCTATTATAAAAACCACGTCATTTTGTATATATACTGGGAACTTGCGCTCAAAATCCGATAGGTTGGTAATTACAGAGAAGATATACTGGAATCAATATGAAAGCCCTCAGCACTATAGGAATCCAGACACGATTGGGACCAGGCTGAAAAAAATTATAAATACTTTTAAACACAGTATACGGTCCATTCGTTCTGAGTTCTGGTTGGTATTTAAAAAAAAGGCGGCAATTCGTTCAGAAATATAGCAATGCACAGTAATCAGTTCTGTCCTGGAATACGTTATTGTGCGGAATACGTTATTGTACGGAATACGTTATTGTACGGAATAGGTTATGGCTGTGACTAAAAAAAGGATTGGAGCACCACACTAAATACCGTGTTCCGGTATATACCGGACAAGGCGCTTGAATGATAAAATGCTAAAATCTTGTCTTTTTACCCAACGGAATGAACTTTAACAGGTCTAATTCATCTTTTCACACCGAATCAAGTACGATAATCAAGGAAAAATGTAAAATTCAGCGAAAAAAACGATATTTGTCTATTTTGTGATCATGATTTCTGCAAGCGTCGAGAGGTACTGCTCCAATCCTGTATTGGACAAACAAACAAATCATGCTTTTATACAATCTTACAAATGTTATTTCGTCACCAACTAGAGTAACAAATTCAACATCTACACTTATAGACCCTATACTCATATCTGATGGTTTAATATGTTTACACAGTGACGTGTTACCAGTTCCTTCTAACATTAGCGACCATAAAGCAACAAATATATTTTTTAAAATCTCCTTCAAGATGTCATAAAACAATAAAAAGAAAAGTCTGGTTATACAATAAAGCTGATTTTAATAGTTTAAATAACTGTATATCAAATACAAATTGGAATTTTATTAATAATATGAATATTGACGATGGTGCTGTTCTATTTACAGAAAAGTTAATCGAAATTACGGAGAAATTTATTCCACATAAAGAAGTAACAATTCCGGCCGTATGATAAACATGGTACGACTCTAAAATTAGATTATATTCAGAAAAAGGGATAGACAAAATCAATAGCAATTTCTACAAAAAATACTAACCATTGGACAATGTATAAACATTTAAGGAACAAAGTAAACAATCTAAAGAAAAAATGCCAAAGAAAAGTTTTATTCTAATTTAGAGAACACTTTAATAGAAACAAATGCAAATAATCCTAAACAATATTGGAAGTTAATACGCCAGTTCATAAAAACAGAAAGATGTTCAGAAATTATTCCGCCTTTAAAGACTACAAATAACGATGGAACAGAATCATTATATTTCTCAGACTTAGAGAAGGCCAATTGCTTAAACCAATATTTTTGCGTCCATTTCTCATTTAAACGATACGGACAAGACCCTTCCCACTTTAGATGATTACACGCATTCTATTATTTCTGAAATAGCTATAACCGAAAATGAAGTAATTGATATTATAAGGAATTTAGATGTAAATAAGCAGTCGGTGAAGATCTTATTAGTCATAAATTGCTCAAAAATATATGTAGTACTGTGTGTAAACCCCTATGTTTATTACTAAAATAGGTCATTAGCAGAGTGTATATTTCCTTCCATATGGAAATCCGCTATTGTAATGCCTCTTTTTTAAGAAAGGTGATACAAATTTAACTTCAAATTATCGTCCGATTTCTTTATTAAGTTGTATAGGAAAATTAATGGAGAGAATTGTTTATAAACATATATACAATCATTTAATAGCCAATAATTTGATTTATTCAAAACAGTCAGGGTTCCTTCAAGGTCATTCAACGATTTTTCAATTATTAGATATATATCACCAAATAGTTAAATCTTTAGATGATAGAACATTTACTTGTGCAGTGTTTTGTGACATATCTAAAGCGTTTGACAGAGTATGGCACAAGGGTTTACTTCTGAAACTTCAGAAAAATGGTATCAAAGGTAACTTGTTGAAATGGATTGAAAGTTATCTAATCAATAGAAAGTCAAAAGGTCTTTGTAGGGTCTTCTTTATCACAACCACTGACTGTAAACGCAGGGGTCCCCCAAGGCTCGGTGCTTGGGCCATTATTCTTCCTTGTGTACGTTAATGATATTGTAGAAAATTTGCTATGTATAACTCGTTTATTTGCAGACGACACCTCTTTGTCTTGTACAACATCATCAATATCCGATCTAGAAGGAATTATTAATCATGATTTAGCTTTGATAAACTTATGGTCTAAAAAATGGCTTGTAGATTTTAATCCTAACAAAACAGAAGCGATTATTTTTACTTTACAATCCAACGTTAACAATCCAAAATTACAATTTGATGGCATACCGGTAAAATTTGTTGAAAGTCATAAACATTTAGGCTTAACTTTTAGTTCTAATGGAAAAATGGCACGATCATATTAAAAGTATAACATTATCGGCTTTCTAAATTACTAGGTACAATGAGAAAACTGAAATATTCCCTTAACAGGGAAACCCTAAACCAAATTTACATTTCATTTCTTAGACCTCTTTTAGAATATGCTTCTGTAGTCTGGGATGGGTGTACAAATTATGAAAAAGATACGTTAGATAAAATACAGCATGAGGCAGCCAGAATCGTAAGCGGCCTAAACCCGTTCAGTTTCTCTCCAAAATTTATATAAAGAAATTAATTGGCTCTCACTATCTGATAGAAAGAACGTACCAAAAACTTATTTTAAACATAATAGAATTCATAATGGAGACGTTCCTGATTATTAAAGTAATATTTTTCCAGAAAGAGTTCATAATACAACACCATACAATCTTAGAAACTCAGATACTTTGCAACTTTAAAACAGACGGACTCATATATTTCTTCTTCTTTTGTGCCTTCCGTCCGTAATGCTATGGAACAAACTTGCAACCTGAAACAAGATCTGTAGAAACTCTGTCACATTTTAAATCTCTATTAAAGAAATCAATCTTTTCGATCTACAGACACTCCAAAATGGTACCTTACAGGTGAAAAGAAAACTCTCAGTTTTTACACTGCAGACTAAAGAAATGCATGCAGTAACTTAAATTTCCACTTATTCTGCAATCACTTGTCACAGGATGCAAATTGTTCATGCGGTTATGAGATAAGAAGATGTTAACCATTTTTTGTTTACTTGTCCGAAATATCGAAATGAGAGAATCGATCTTTTTAACGAATTAAGGCAATTTCACCCTTTAAAATGTCCAATTACTTTTAGTTGGTAACAAAGAGTTGTCTTTTGAAAATAATAATAAAATATTTTTGACTGTTCAGCATTTCATAAAAGTAAGCAAACGCTTTTGATTTTGAAAACAAACCAGCACAATCTCTCAATAAATGTTAATGTATTTTTGTTTCATTTTTGCAAAACAATAGACAAGATTCTTTTCTTTCTTCTTCTATTTTTTTTTTTATTCTATATTTCATTTTCTCAAAATCTATTTTTGAATTTGGTATATTCGGCAAATGTACATGTTTTCTAAGTCATTGTAACGCAAATATATATAAATCAGTTAACATCGTTAAATACCATTCAAGCTAGAGAACATGTACACCCAATCATTTTTATTGTTCTTTCTTACCTAAAATCATTTTTAAAGCCAAGTACTATATATGTGTGAGTTTTGTTACTTCTATCTAACTGATAGTCATTCTTGTAAAATAAGTTATTGTAATTTATTGCATCAGGGAAGACCCGTTGCTAATGTTGAGAGAACTTGTGGGTCAACCCTTTTGCCAAATATGTCATGTCATTGTATTGTAACTGTCTACATGTATGTATATGTCTTATTTTTGGCAATAAAATATGTTTAAATCAAATCAATCCTGTATTGAGCTAAATCCATAGGTTATTGTTTGGAATACGTTATCGTGCGGAATACGTTATTGTGCGGAATACGTTATTGTACGGAATAAGTTATTGTACGGAATACGTAATTGTACGGCATACGTTATTGTACATACATTTCACAAGTAAACGTTATACTATAATTTTCCTACTCGATCAGGTTACAGAACGATTGAGATACACATATACGAGTAATAACAATCAATATGTCAAAATTCTAGTAACAATTCAATGTTGAACTGTATGTTGCTCATGGTTGAATAACATGAAGGGCACGAATTATAGACTTGAATTATTCTAACTACGTTTGACACACACTCGCATGTGCATAGCTAGAATGCGAAAACATTACATACATGCATATATATTGTTTTGTAATAGTCTATACATTAATTATACACAAATATAAAACATTGTTTCATTAGTTACTTGTTATTATACTTTATTTGAAACTACAATAAGCAATATTCTTTTGTAACAATATCTATAAATTCTTTATTAACAGTAAAAATCTCGTAATAAAATTTCGTCTTCTCCATTCAACGGTTCATTCCAATTTCTGTGTACACTCTATTTCTATTAACATCATTTGCGAAACGAAAAGGAAGTTTATTAGATTCCCACCGTACATAAAACAAAGTACGCCGGTACAATTATTTTTTTTAGACTTTAAGATAATATTTTTTTTTAAAGCACGGTATACCCTATTGAGCTACCCACCCATTTGATCCATTCTGATGTAAGATTTCCAAGACATGCAAACAGATTAAAGCTGAGGAATGTAAATATAGATGTCCAATAGCCTTTCATTTCTGTAGAAAATAGAAAACAAACAGAACGGAATACATTATTGTTATTATAATATCAATCTAGTTCAAGAAAACATGTCAACATCATACTAGGAATTTGGGTATTAAAATGCTCAATCTGAGAAAATGGCGATGAAATATGCAATACCATATGTCATTGTGTAATAAGCTTATCCATCACTTATTTAAGTTTTATTGTTGTATGAAGCGGTAAGCAAATAGACCCACGCTCGAATCCGTTCCTGGAACCAACCAGTGCATTTGATAAAGATAAAGCCTTATGTTTAATCTCATATATGTTTGGCCTTCTATGGTATTAAATTTCCATGATTTATAACAATTAACAATAACTTACAACACAAAGCCACTTCGTTAATAAGTATTCAGTATCACACACAATTATTACATGTACGTACGTGATTTGTATTATTTGTATTTTGTTAGCCTTCGCCTAAAATAGATCTCATGCAAGTTATTGCTTGTATAAATTATTGAAAATTGATATTTATAAGTATCATGTTGCATTTAATACAAGTATTTAAGTTTAAATGGTTTGGAAATGATATAGAATTATTGTCAATTGTCTCGAATAAACTCTTGTAGCTAAGAATTATGCTGAACCAGTACCTGACAGTTATGTGTTTAATGTGTCACAATTGATATTTAGGTATATAAGAAACATAGTTTTATCATACCAAATTCTTCACTGAAAGTTATAGTTTGTTCAGTCTCTATCCCATTGTCGTTGACAAATGTTTGTCTGACCATCTTAACATTGCTTTGTATTGCCGGAAATAACATAAGTGATACACAGAACGTACACCATACTCCGAATAACTGAAGTTTTATCTATAAAACGGAAAGAAAAATACGAAAATGAAGTTGAATTTCCTGCAAAACGTATGAAAAAAGAACAACTGTTTATATCGAATGCAGTGAAGAGTCGATCAATAGGAAACAAGAAAAGCATTAATGCAAAGCATCAAAGGGCGACGCCAAAATAATTTGATCCAGGTTTGCACTTAAATACTTAACAAAAGATGCGTACTTTAAAGAAGTACCATTACATGTTACCTGGAGGCTAGGCCCAGTTTAAGTTGAAACTTAAGTTGAAAAAGAATAGACTCTGTCTTGCCAAGATGCAAAGACAATTTATAGTCAATTAACCAATCTTATAAGACTCATGCTGTAAGAAAGAATTTCCTCAGATTAATTTTACAAGATACAAGGATACCTGAGTCATCAGCATATAATCACAGCCACGAGTATCGGACCTGGGACCAGACTGATAAAAAAAACTGTTCATAAAAACCAAAAAAAAAAAAAAAAAAAAAATGTAAATAATGACCCCCTTTAAATATATACTATTAACTTAAAGTGTCTTTTTAAAGGGGGGTCATTATTTACATTTTTTTTTGATTTTTGACACTTTTAAGATGAACACAGGTTTTTTATCAATCTGGTCATACTTTTTCTTCCCAGGTCTGATACTCGTGCCTGTGCATATAACAAAAGCTTATTGCTTAGGGTTGCAGACATGTCATTGACATATATTAGACATAAAAGCGGACCTAAAATGAACATCAGGGGGACACCATAGGTACTCAGAGCAGTAGTAGAATGAGTACCAGCCACATCCACCAGCCGCTGTCTATCAGAGATAGGACTTAAACCATGTAAGAATGTCATTACATATGGCAGATGCTTGAAGTTTCATGAAGAAGAAGAAAAAGAACTTCATGTGCAGTATAGTGTGATCAACTGTATCAAATGCCCTTTGTAGATCTCAAAGTATCATGCAATACTGCCTTTGTCCATTTCAAATTTAATGCAATCTGTTAAATGAATCAAACATGTGTCAGTAGAAAAAACACTTCTAAACCCTGACTGAAACTGCCTGACCATGACTCGAACCCATGACTTCCAGAATACTAACTGAGCTATCCGGCCGGTTACACATTTTCTCTTTAATAAAGAAACAGTTCTAAACCACAACATATTTCCCCACTATATTGATTTGAGTCCTTGAATTTCTTATGTTTACAGAGCATAGTGAATTGAACTCAAGCTTATATGCAGTAACAGGATGAGAAAAACGTTCAGCTTGACCAGAACTCGAACCAGTGACCCACATAATAATGTACCGCAGCTGTAGCGATTGAGCTATCTGGCCGCTTACACATTTTCTCCCCTAAATAGTGAACAGTTCTAAACCATGACAGATACTTTTAGATTTTTTAAATAAGCAGATAATTAATTCTTAATTAATAAATTAGAAAAAAAACTTACATACTCAAAGTCTTAATTAAAATAACAATTTATATATTATTGTATAATTATTTTTACTAAAAAGGGCTTAGACAGTTATTGGTTGTGCCATTATTTAAAACAGGTCAATTTGAAAGTGAGCATAACTGTGCTAATACATGTACAATATCTATTTTTGTACAGATAAAAAACTAACCTTTTTTCTATGATAAGAAATTTTATGAAGGCTGATTTGTATTTTGCATCAAGGGAACCGGGCGAAAACATGACAATGCAACAAACGAACCACTTTGTGGTAGATTGTATTTTCATGTTTTCATCTGGCGCCCGCTTACTTTTTGTACTATGTTGGTTTTCATATGGCACAAATCATCCACTTTAAAATTTAGTGCACAAATTTATTCAAGGGCAAGTAACAATCTACTCTATGAAAAGTCTGTTGTCGGGTTGACTCAAGAGACCTGGAGGTTGAGACCGGTGTCCCTCCATTACAAATAGATACCTTTTCAAACTATGCACATGTTAGGAAAAAAAATAGAATAACTATTCAGAATATGATTTTTTGAGACTTTATTAATTATATTGCTTGATCCAAGTTTAAGGACATTTTCAATCAATACATGTATTATCATTTATAACTTTAAATGAAACTCTCATCCCTTTAATAATAATGACATAACTGTAACTCTTTAAATTCAGAAAAATATTATAAGTCTCATCATATCAAATTACAATATACTAAGACATACATGTATGCACATAACATTAATAATTCCCAGTTTCTATTAAATAAATATGAAATCCTAACATTAACATGCTTTTGATAACCTTACAACTGGTAAATTTTATACAGCAAAGATAGTAAGTAATATCTAAGATAGACAGAAAAGAACAAATAATTTAGTAAACATGAGTTACTTCCCCTTAAAATATAGACAACCTGAAACACACAAGAACACCCTAAACAGCAAATTTATGAAATGTTGCAGGCTCAGTTTTATTTAGCCATGCAAATTAATGGTAAAGTATTCATAAAAAAATAGATGGACATGTGACAGCAGTAATTGCAGAAAATCGGATAGCTTTCAACATCGGATACTGGTACACTTTGTAAAACAAACATTCTGTGCAACAGATAAACGTAATATGGATAAATTCAATAGGACATTCGTTTACAACAGTTAATTACCTATCCTAATACTCATTTGCAGGTGCACTTTCTTCTTGCAGGAAAATTTTGAAAATGGATACGGCATCAATTTTTAATGTAAACCACAACGATATTCGAAATCCGGGTTTTAGTAACTAGGGGACAAGCTGTTAAACTGAGCATGCAATTTCATGAAAATAATATCACAATGCACATACTTTTTACATAAAGTTATTAAATACAAATATAACAACATATTTGTTTACTTGATTTTTACGAATCAAAATAAAACTAATTAACACAACATGACATTAACTGCTAATAATTACAGCTCCTTCCATAGGCCAAAATAAAAAGCATTCCATAAGAGACGACGCCGCTCACCAGCGTCGCCAATAATAGTATTCGGAGATAGATTTTGTCAAGCCCCTTAACATCGATTATCCGTGGCGTCTGTATTGTTCGTCATTCAGTCAGTGGTTAAAAATGGTTTAGTCAAGATTGAAAGATTGACAAGTCCGTTAATATACAAGTATTAGCATTTCCAAAAATGCTAGGCATCGCCATTCAGCCGGGTAATCGAAAAAATATGTTTTCGTTAAATAGACTCCTGAACACTGGAACAAATATTTTCTTTTCATTTAAGAGAAATATTCAATAGCCTACACACTGGTTTCGAGCTTTGTACAGGAAAAAAGTATTTCAATTCTATATATAGGTAACCCGACAAAAACATGGCGGATGGTGTGCCTCTTAAATTAAGACGCCCCTCTTTGCGGCCTTTTGTTATCCATTTTGTTATCATGTGGTATTTAATTTTCCGTTTTAATTGGCTTAGAACGCAGAACTCATTAAATCTTGTTAATTATATATGTCGCCGTCCAGCAACGGCGAGAATTAAGCCAGATTATTTACATGATATAGCCACGAAACGTGCAATGTTGAAAGGTCGAGTTGCTCTGCCCTGTTAATCTTTAATAATAAGCCAAACACATACCTTCTTTATAACTACCCCATATGTTTTGCAAGAGTCAATAAATGCTTTATGATAATCGCCACAAAGCATCTTCTTGTCTTCATCTTTTGAACCATGCACTTCGTTCATATAGTACCTGTAATATTTCTGAAAAAAAAAATCCATTATACATATACCTGTACTTTGCTCAGGATATATCGGTAAAATTTACGTGTAGTTTTAATGATAAAAAACTTGTCAAGTTTATTTTGTATAATGACTTTATATGTATTATAACAAAAAAGAAACGGTATACGTAAATAATACAAAAGGACATACGTAAGGTGTTCTTTAACGTTTGTCATGTATAATAATAATAATAATAATAATAATAATAATAATAATGATGATAATAATGTCCTTCATTTATTGATATCTAAAAGACGGATGCAGAACAGGGTTTTCTGGGGGGCTGACATATGGGTGGAAGATTTTGACATAAAAGAAATACAGTGCAACAGGCGATAATTGTGCATGTTTGAAAATAGGGCCAGCATCTTGTTCATGTGACAAAATTGTAATTAATGTGTTTTATAGCTCATCTTATGAGTGGCAATGTACTTGTCTTATATATGTGCATACTACCTATGTGATTGGGGTGGGCCTGGGAGGGGTGTCGCCTCCAATAGACTGAGAAAATTTTGAAATATGAGGTTGAAATGGTGGTATTTCCTTGACTTTCTTGTGCTGTTTATGGTACCTTTTGGATGGTTTAACATCACATTGTATTTTGTATAGGTTCAGTATTTGCAGGGTCTTTTAAATAGCATTCCCCTGGTGTTTAGTAGTAAACTACAACAAAGTTTGTAGTTTGTTGTTTAGTAGTAAGCATTTACAAAATAACAGTACACTTACCAATGTATGCGAGACGGTTGATAAAATTAATTTCAAACACTCGATCAATTTTATCATCTGAATAATAGACGATTTTTCTAAATAAAGTGTTATTAAAATACCGCCTTTCTATTGTACAAAAAAGTTCAAACACTAATATTCAATACGAATTTTTTTCCATCAATGAATCCATTATAGATTATGACTAAAGAGACCATCACAATTTCAATTTTATCAGGGACATAGATAACTGTTATCTATATCTCTAATTTTATTTAAAAAATGTATATAACTGCCATAAAAAGTTATTAAATGCAAATGATCAGTCATTTCATCTTAATTAAAATCTTAGTAAAACTAGTAATTAAAACGTGATTCCTTTAATATTATCTTTATAAAACTCGCCACCTTTGTAATTTACGAATCATAATTTTCAGTTTCTTAATTATAGGGCTTCCCCAAAGAAAATGGAAAAACAAAGATAGTTAAATGATGGTGTATTTTGAAACACATCTATTTGCCACTATCTGTGACTATTAATTTCATAAGACATTGGGAAAGTAATAAACCAAGCAATTATGCAGTTTGAACATTGAAGTCATGTTGATAGATAAAGATCTTTGCCAAGCCCCAAGGCAGGAGATTAACAACTGGATGGCAGCAATTAATGTTTTGATAAGGGAGTACACTACAGTCAGTAAAGTTTGAAACTGACAAAATAATATATTCCAAATTTTCTACAGTTAAAAGGCACATTATGCCTCAAAAATGCTAAGATTTTTATTTCTCAAAATTTTTAAATATTTGGCGTCTTGTTACAAGTTCCACAAAAAATATTTATTTGCCATATAAATGAACTATTTTTGCATGTTTTGATTTGCTGGCAACTGGTATAATTATAATGAATTAGTATTTTGTATGGAAGACAAAATACTATTTGTTTACATTTACTACCTTTACGATACATTAATGCCTTTCAGCACTACTTTCTTCACCTGTTAAATATCTTTCATGTTCTAAATCCATTATTAAAACATTATTAAACATGTGTTTGACATTTCTTAAGAATTTAATAACTATTGATTTCTGAGGCATAATGTGCCTGGAGAGGTCCATCACAATGTGAAACACGGATTATAAAAAAAAAATCAAAACAACCCATCATTTTATTTTTACATTTATTTAATGTATAAACATATCAAATGATAAATAAATGTATAATTTGAAATCATAGTTAGTTTTTTGAGAAAAACAATTAAAGTTTCAATGTCCTTCTAAACTGATTGTTTTGAAATGTATAATGCTGAGACTCTCTTAATAATCACATGAAACAGTCAATAAAATGTATAATACTGAGACACATGGAACAGTCAACAAAATGTATAATACTGAGACACATAGAACAGTCAATAAAATGTATAATACTGAGACTCCAAAAATAATCAAATGGAACAGTCAATAAAATGTATAATACTGAGACTCCCTTAATAATCACATAAAACAGTCAATGAAATGTATAATACTGAGGCTCCCTTAATAATCACATAAAACAGTCAATGAAATGTATAATACTGAGACTCCCTTAATAATCACATGAAACAGTCAATGAAATGTATAATACTGAGAAGACTCCCTTAATAATCACATAAAACAGTCAATGAAAGTGTATAATACTGAGACTCCCTTAATAATCACATAAAACAGTCAATGAAATGTATAATACTGAGACTCCCTTAATAATCACATGAAACAGTCAATGAAATGTATAATACTGAGACTCACAAAATAATCACATAGAACAGTCAATGAAATGTATAATACTGAGACTCCCTTAATAATCACATGAAACAGTCGATGAAATGTATAAAACTGAGACTCCCAAAATAATCACATAGAACAGTCAATGAAATGTATAATACTGAGACTCCCAAAATAATCACATGGAACAGTCAATGAAATGTATAATACTGAGACTCCCAAAATAATCACATAAAACAGTCAATGAAATGTATAATGCTGAGACTCCCTTAACAAGAGCCACCACCGGGCGGGGGCAACGCTCGACTTTTTACTTCTTCTAAAAGCAAACATAGAAAGGTTTGAACATATCTTAACGTTTCCTTTTTATAAATTTACTTGGTCTGTCTTGTCATTTAGATTTGTTTGTCTATTATATATATATATAAATAGACAATATATATTTATATATATATATATGAATAGAAACATGCAATTCTATAAATAGAAACAAGCAATTCTATAAATAAAAACAAGCAATTCTATAAATAGAAACACGCAATTCTATAAATAGCACAATTCTATAAATAGTAACACGCAATTCTATAAATAGTAACACGCAATTCTATAAATAGCACAATTCTATAAATAGCAACACGCAATTCTATAAATAGCAACACGCAATTTCTACCAATTACAACACGCAATTTCTATAAATAGCAACACGCAATTCTATTAATAGCAACATGCAATTCTAAAAATAGCAACACGCAATTCTAAAAATAGAAACACGCAACTCTTAAAATAGAAACAATCAATTCTAAAAATAGCACAATTTCTATAAATAGCAACACGCAATTTCTATAAATAGCAACACGCAATTCTAACAATTGCAACACGCAATTCTAAAAATAGAAACACGCAATTCTAAAAATAGAAACATGCAATGTTGTTGTTGTTGTTGTTGATGATGATGATGATAGATATGTATATATCAATATATACACACACACACAAATAAATATTTAGTTTTGGTCATTTAATGCACAAATCTGAGAAAATTCAGTAATTTAACCTTCAAGGTCAAGGTCATTAAAGAGCCCAAGCAAATTTGGGTTTGATAAACATCAAGGTCTGGTCCTTTAGAATGTTCGTTGATCCCTTCAATAATAGCAAAGTTACAGTCAGTTACAGCCAAAACAATGAAAATTTCAATAATTTGACCTTCAAAGACAATGTCGTTAATGAGTGAAGGTCAAGGTCTGTCGGGTTATTTTTAAGAGTTATCCTTGAAGATTATTATGTTCAAATTTCAAGACAATCCATTCAAAAATAACAAAGTTACAGCCAATAATAGCCAAAAAAAAAATGAATATTTCAATAATTTGACCTTCAAAGTCAAGGTCATTCATGAGCAAAGGTCAAGGTCTGTCTAGTTAATTTTAAGGGATATCCCTGAAGATTATTATGTTCAAGTTTGAAGACTATCCATTCATAAATAACAAAGTTACAGCCAATAATAGCCAAAAACATGAAAATTTCAATAATTTGACCTTCAAAGTCAAGGTCATTTATGAATGAGTGAAGGTCAAGGTCTGTCGGGTTATTTTAAGGGATATTCTTGAAGATTATTATGTTCAAGTTTGAAGACAATCCATTCAAAAATAACAAAGTCACAGCCAATAACAGCATGAACAAGCAAAGTTTGGACTTTTAACCTTGAAGGTCAAGGTCATTTATGGATGAAGGTCAAGGTTAGTGTGGTTTACTGAAAGGTATTGTCCCAAGGGTTGTTGTGGCCAAGTATGAGGACAATACACCAAGAAACAAAAAGTTATGACCCAGGTACAAGTTTGCGGACGGGAACGGCAACGGCAAGGGCAACGCCGCCGCGACTATAGCAATACCTCTACTTTTTTTTTTCAAAAATAAAAAAGTCGAGCTTATAATCGCATGAAACAGTCAATGAAATGTAAAATACTGAGACTCCCAAAATAATCACATAGAACAGTCAATGAAATGTATAATACTGAGACTCCCAAAATAATCACATAGAACAGTCAATGAAATGTATAATACTGAGACTCCCAAAATAATCACATAGAACAGTCAATGAAATGTATAATATTGAGACTCCCAAAATAATCACATAGAACAGTCAATGAAATGTATAATGCTGAGACTCCCTTAATAATCACATGAAACAGTCAATGAAATGTATAATACTGAGTCTCCAAAAATAATCACATAGGACAGTCAATGAAATGTATAATACTGAGACTACCAAAATAGTCACATAGAACAGTCAATGAAATGTATAATACTGAGACTCCCAAAATAATCACATAGACCAGTCAATGAAATGTATAATACTGAGACTCCCTTAATAATCACATGGAATACCAGAATGCCCCATGAGCAGATTAGTCACGCATAGATAGAGGGAAAAGCAGACGGTAATCATTAGTCTTATCTGATCTGTGTGTTATATTCTGCTGTGAAATCTTGGTGTTTTGCAGGACTATCAGAAATTATTAGGCACGCTGATATATAATTATCATATATGTATTTATTGTACACATAAGCTAAGTGGCAGAGGGAAGTGTAGTCTAAATGTATGTCTACAAATTTACAAACAAACTTGCTAGGAGAATGTACTATTTTACATGGCATAAAAACATTTTACTCTTATATTAAAGTTAAATACCATTTTTAAATTATGGAACTATTGCTTACATGCTGTCAATTAATAAAATATCTATTATAACATATTAACTGCAGGGTAGATACTCATGCAGTTAGAAACTCACAGAACATTTTGAAAAATATTTTGATAAAATTGTCTTAATGTATTTAGTCTAATAAATTCTTTCCATTTAGTAGAAAAAATGATATGTAATATGATATAATATTATAAATTATTGTTATATAAACCTTATTTACATTTTACTTCAGTATATTTAGTTGTATATAGTACTCAAAATATTTCAGTTATGTGATTTAGAAAATTAAATAAAATTTAACATTAGATTTTAGCTCTTTTGAAAACTAAATTTTACAAAATCTGTTTAAATAACAGATTTGTATAACACTTCGATTATTCACCAATTATCTTTAATTGTTGAATTTCAATTCTTGTGTACTGACCTAAAGAAGAATTGAGTGAAAACTTCCACACAAAACATTTTAAGTGTAAAATTTCCAACTCAAATGACTAAGATTGAAATTATGCCCAACAGAAAAATCAAAGCTCTGAATTCCGCCAATCCTACCTGAAGAAAAAGTAAGTTTGAAATTCCATCCAAGACACAATTTACAAGTACAAAATTCCGCCCATAATAAAATTCTGCCTGTAATGTTTCTTGTTTCATGCCCAGAATTGTTTAAGAAATATTTTCTGTGTGGGGCAGACTGACACGGAATTCGCTTTTCCGTGCAATGTCCCCCCAGAAAGCAATGATTCCACCCGAATTCCTTGCCAATTACGCCCAGCATTCATGCCGAACTTCGTAAAGGGTGATACAAATTATGACATAAATATTTATCACTAGCAATGTGATACCCTAATCATTGTGAGCTTAGGTGGTTCATTTTGATTCTATTTTATCATCGGGGTAAAACAGAGTTATGCTTCTTTGACACTGCACTTTTACTCAATGAGATCTATCTACGTACAAAGTTTCATGTGGATATCTCTAATAATTTTAGAGTTATGTCCTGGACAAAGTTCAAAGTGTAAAATTAAACAAAGGGCAATAATTTCAAAATTAGTCAAGACACAGTTACAGTCCTTGTGCATTGTACATCCACCTATTGAGATCAATCTACCTACAAAGTTTCATGTTAAAATGTCCTATAATTTTAGAGTTATGTCCCGGACAAGATTTTTCTAAAAGGGGAGATAATTCAAAAACAGGGCAAAACTGAGTTATGGTTCTTTGGCACTGCACTTTTTCCCAATGAGCATCATATAAAACAAAGTTTCCTCTGGAAAGAAAGACCTTAAAAATGATGTTAACAACAGTGTAAAAATTTTCGTTGTTCAGGTAACATCTTAATTCAAATAATTCCGCAACATGTAGGCCTTAATCGAAACCGAAAGTGTATAAACCAATAGATAAATAAAACATATCACATCCCATAATTTGTCATAGTGACTCAGAACTGATCAATATCATTTCATCAATGTCTCGATATTATTTGATATAATCATGTGTAACAATATATAACAATATATCAAGATGTCATGATTATTTTATAACACTATTATTATGACTCACAACTTACATACAGTCAACATATAAAAACTTAAGATGTTCTACACATATCATTATACTTTCATCTACTTGTTATTCAAATATTATATAATTATTACATTGTTATTCAAAACATACAATAATATCAAACATGTTATATATTATTCAAAACCAAAAAAATGTCAAAAAAATTACACATCATCAAGTATTCTAGAAATTAACATGCTTATATATCACAACAGTTACAGAAATCATCAACATAGCATAAATATGATATGAGAACATAATACAACCCACAAACATGTCAAACATATGAAATGACATCATAACACAACCAGCATTGCATGTCCACTATATTGTATTATCAATATGTCATACACATTACATAACATCATAATAAGTAATAGAAAGAGCATTGAAACACGAGGCTATCTGATTTGTACGAGGGAATGTAGCCCCGAGTATAAATGAGATTGCCGAGTGTTTTGATGTTCTTTCTCTTTTGTATCATAGTCAAACATAAAAACACGTTCCCTGATACCAAAACATGAAAACCCACAAAAAGTAACCAATGAACAAGCATCTGAATATGATATTTCCATCGCCATCCCTTGCTTTGTCGTCACAATATGTAAACCCCGGACAAAATGAACCAATCAATGGGCATGCTCTGGAGTGCAGGTAACTAATACCTGCACTCCAGTTAATGCACTGTGCATGTATATGTATACGATTTAACTGTGACACATTTTCAACAGAAAGGTCCCCTAACTATGATACAATTGGTACATATTATGCAACACCAAAAGCCTGTAATACAAATTAAATCCTATAAAATAACACATCATATAACCTGCACAAATGATTAATAGAGGATATTGAATGAGTGTAAGTTCAATACTGAATTTATTGCACGAGTTGAATAAAATTATATTATGCGAGCCTCTGGCAAGCATAATATTATTTTATTCAACGAGTGCAATATATTCAGTAATGAACTTACACGAATTTAATATTCTATTTATCACATACCCGAAATAAAGACCGTTTAAAGTGAAATAAGAGTCATTTTTCATTGACGCATCTAAGGTATAACGCTAACATTTAGCGCGTCTTTACACTATGTTTGTATAACGCTAATGACGTCACGTCAAAATATATGCACGGCCGTGCAATACCATATTTACGGAGTCGCGAAATCGGCACGGGTGTGTGATAAACATAAATATGACATGAGAACATATTACAAACCACAATATAGTATCATCAACATGTCATACATATAAAATGACATCATAACATCACCAGCATTGTATGTCCATTTTATCATACAATGTATTATCATCATGTCATACAAATGGCATGACATCATATAAGAAAACCAGCATTGCATGTCCACTTTATAATATCATCAACATGTCATACATATGGTGGCACAACATCATATAAACACAATTGGCATTGCATATAAAGAATATATAATATCATCAATATGTCATACATATGGTACAACATCTTATAAACACAAATAGCATTGCATGTCCAGAATATAATATCATCAACATGTCATACATATGACACAACATCTTATAAACACAACCGGAATTGCATAACCATAATACAATATCATCAATATGTCATACATATGACACAACATCTTATAAACACAACCGGAATTGCATATCCATAATACAATATCATCAATATGTCATACTATATAATATCATCAACATGTCATACAAATAACATGGCATCATACAAACACATCAGTTTTGCATGTCCACAATATATTAACATCAACATGTCATACAAATGGCATGGCATTGTATGACATGGCATCATATTAATTAAAAACATTTGCTACAGTTTTAGGAAAATTTAATCCTGTCATAAGATTTTTTGTATGATGACGAATTCAAAAAAAGTAAAATTATGTTAACTAATTGGATTATTTGTAAAATTGCAGTTTCCATGGAAACAGTATATCTCGAAACTGTCAAAATAGCCACACTTTCTTATAGATAACAAGAGGGCCCAGATGGCCCTGGATCATTCACCTGAGAAATATGTAAAACTGTCAAGGTGGAGCGCCTTTTCACCACAGAAGCACAATTTGAAAACAATGGACAGCTTATTTATCTGAACAATTTTTGTACACTGTCACCAAGGAAATTTTTGTGTAAAATTATTTCAAAATTGAACCAGTGGTTTAGATATTGTTAAGATGTTGTTATTTTCTAATTTTAGCCATTTTATTAAACAGTTGAGACTGTCATTAAGTGGCAGGTGAGCTAATAAATGACAGAAAAAAGAGAAGGAAAACAAACATTTGACCTGGCTGGGGATGGAACTGTTGACCTCAATCCCCTGGGACGGGGCAAATATTGACCCTAGGGGTTTTATGTCAAAATTGACATGGTAGACATACACTAAAACATGTTTCATGCCAAATATTTAAGCTTTACTAGCTTTTTTTGAATTTCACAAGAATTTTTTTTAAGTTTCTACCATAAACATGTATATATAAGGATAATCAATGACCCCATGGTGCGGGGCCAATTTTTACCCTCGGGTTTTTATTTGAACTAACTTGGTAGACATCCACTGGAAGATATTTCCAGCTAAACGTCTAAGCTTTAGCTCTTTTGGATTGTCAAAAGAAGATATTTTTTAGTTTTTACTATAAACATATAAGGAAAATCAATGACTCCAGTGGTGGGGCCAATTTTGACCCTAAGGCATTTATTTAAACAAACTTGAAAGATGTTTCATGCCAAATAACTAAGCTCTAGCTTTTTCGATTTTTTTGCAAGATTTTTTGTAAAAAAATCTTTCCGTTGCCAAGGCAACCAGAGTTCTTTTTGGCATTTAATTCTTTGAACAACTTTGTTAGAGCGTCATGCAAGGAACATCTCTGCAAAGTTTCAACAAATTTGGCCAAGTCGTTTAGAAGGATTTCTTGTAAACAGGCAGTTTCTATGGTAACCAATTACGTCAACTGTCAAAATAACCACGCTTTCTTTAGAAACAACAGTGTTTTAGCAAATGCATTGTTATATGTACAACAAAAACTAATGGAAATATAAATTATTAATTCTTTTGATGTTATATGAATTATATAGGTCACAACATGTTAATCAAAAAAGTATGCCATATTATTTCTTGATTTTGACAGTTGACGTAAGACAAATAAGTAGATCAAAGTATTCCGTAAATAAATGAAGATTGAAACATTTCTTTGATAGATTTAAAACATGTTTTATTCAACATTTTTAAGTATATCATTTAAATCTTCTTCTATTACAATCAGGTGGCTACGCACTTTTGTCACTGTTACTAATGGGTTGGGTAACTCGTGCGAAATTATTATCAATTTTGTCATATAAATGCTAAGAGGAATTCCATGTTCCTGGTGTTGTCCTGAGAGAACTCTCTAATTCTTTTCACCCGTTTTCTTTAGAATAAGTTTCCTGGACTGTTTAGTCTATTTGTTTTATAGTCGAAATTCAAAACAATTATCGGAGTACTATTTAACAACCTTCTTTGTGAAGATTTATTATCCGTGATTATCTTACTTGGAGGGCATAACTCTGAAAAATACTTTAACACAACCAGCATTGCATGTCCACTATATAATATCATGAACATATCATACATATCACATGGCATCATATAAACACAACCAGCATAATGCAAGTCCCTTATAATATCAACAACCTGACATAATTATAGTATCAGAGGCATGTGCTGTCAAGAGGGCTTTACCTGTATATATGTTTGTATTCAGAAAAGTTGAGATTGCGGTACAACCTAACAGGTATAAAAACAATACAGTTCTTCCCTTTGAAATGCTTTTTCAAGCGTATATTCATGTATCTTTTTTCTTCAAAAAGGAAACAAGTAGTGGAAACCTATTTACCCAGGCTTCCATAACCTGTTCCAATGTTTTGCATTCATCATCTGCTTCTTGATCATTCCTGAATATGTCTTTTTCTATTTTGACCATGTGTGTTTCTGTATCAACTGAAAGTGATAATCATACAATTTTCAGAAAACTAACCACATTTTAGGAAGAATTCATAGACAAAAAGGTCAAATTTAAGAACCGTTGGAAACTATTTTTTATATAACTTATATATCTATTCAAATTTGCTTAATTTTTGTGACAGTTTGACATAAAAACTAGAAAAAACACGATCCAATAATATTCTTCATTTATTGCGACTATAAAGCCATTGGGATCGATTTCAACATGACATTTAGAAATTCAATGTTAGCAAAAAACTTTTTCATTAAAGTCAATAAAGTTCTTTTCTCTCATATTCTCTAACTCTTTCCTTCATGCGCATATTGTGAAAAATGGCCGTTTTTATTGAAAAGCCTCCTATAACAAGTTCTAACTGCTATGAAGCTATGAAAAATGCTTCAATACTAATGAAACTTGGCAGAAATGTTGATTGGAACATGACCTCTGTCAATCCTAAATTTTCTGTAACATTGGCAATGGGGGACGTCTCAAAATTGGCAAAAATCACTATTTTGCATTGGTTTTTCCAAACAAAACTGATTTCAAAGGGCTGCAACCTCTCAATGGATTGAGGCCATTTTTAGCCTGTCACATGTCCACACTTTTCTTGGTTATGAGGGGAACTGCAGCACCCTTCATTAAAACCCCCAAACATAAGGGGACACATCTCCCTTCTGGCACCCCCCTGATGTACCTTTTTGATGAGGGGCGGCACCAAAAAGACTTTTTAGCAACATTTCTCAAACGAAAACAGTGCTTGGGGCCTTAAATATGGCAACTTTTCACTGTTTGAGGCCTCAAAACGGAGGGGGGGGGGGGTCGGAAAGCCGTCAAAACACATCTATATGAAGGGCTAAGTGAATTGGCCTATAATGGAAGGTGTGTAATATAATAAATATTACGTTGATGTTATACATTATTTCACACCTTATACAATATAACATATGGACTTTCAGCATCCTAATGCTCAAAAGAAACTTTTATTTGACCCAATATTATCAATTTAGCCTAGTTTTTCTGTAACATTGGCAATGGGGGACGTCTCAAAATTGGCAAAAATCACTATTTTGCATTGGTTTTTCCAAACAAAACTGATTTCAAAGGGCTGCAACCTCTCAATGGCCTGAGGCCATTTTTAGCCTGTCACATGTCCACACTTTTCTTGGTTATGAGGGGAACTGCAGCACCCTTCATTAAAACCCCCAAACATAAGGGGACACATCTCCCTTCTGGCACCCCCCTGATGTACCTTTTTGATGAGGGGCGGCACCAAAAAGACTTTTTAGCAACATTTCTCAAACGAAAACAGTGCTTGGGGCCTTAAATATGGCAACTTTTCACTGTTTGAGGCCTCAAAACGGAGGGGGGGGGTCGGAAAGCCGTCAAAACACATATATATGAAGGGCTAAGTGAATTGGCCTATAATGGAAGGTGTGTAATATAATAAATATTACGTTGATGTTATACATTATTTCACACCTTATACAATATAACATATGGACTTTCAGCATCCTAATGCTCAAAAGAAACTTTTATTTGACCCAATATTATCAATTTAGCCTAGTTTTCATAGGTCAATTTTTAAAAGGTTTATATCGGCCCAAAACACATATCAAGTCTGCATTTAATTAAAGTAACAAAGTTCTTTAAAATGTCAAAACAAGAGCACCGTATAGGCATGGTAATATACGCCCAAATGCTAATTTGTTTTAATCAATTAAACTTTAAAGAAACAAGAGGGCCATGATGGCTCTAAAGTCGCTTACCTGTATATAGCCCCCCCCCCCGGAGCGGGGCCATTTTAATCCCCAGGGCTTTTACTTGAATACACTTGGTAGACACCCATTAGAAGATGTTTCATGCTAAACATTTAAGGTCTAGCTGGTCAAGTTTTTTCTTAACACATATAGTTAAAAACAATGACACACATGGGGCAGGGCCAGTTTTGACCCAATGGGCTTTTATTTGAACAATCTTTGTAGACACTTAATAGAAAATGTTTCATGCTTAATATCTAAACACGAGCTATTTGAATTTTTTCAAAGAAGATTTTTAAGTTTTTGTTACACATATAAGGAAAATGAATGACCCCCGGGGCGGGACCAATTTTGACCCCAGGGCTTTTATTTGAACAAACTTGGTAGACACTCACTAGAAGATGTTTCATGCTTAGTAGCTAACCTCTAAGTACATGTATTTGTTTTTTTTCAAAGAAGATTTTTTAAGTTTTTGCTATACACATATACACATATAAGGAAATCAATGACCCAAGTGGCGGGGCCAATTTTGACCCCCAGGGCTCTTATTTGAACAAACTTGGTAGACATCCATTAGAACATGTTTCATGCTTAATATCTTAGCTCTAGCTCTTTCGGTCTTTAAAAGAAGATTTTTAAGTTTTGACTATATGCATATAGGGAAAATCAATGACCCCCTGGGGCGGGGCCAATTTTGACCCCAGGGCTTTTATTTTAACAAACTTGGTAGATACCCATAAGATGATGTTTCATGCTAAATATCTTAGCTCTAGCTCTTTCGGTCATTAAAAGAAGATTTTTTAAGTTTTTACTATATGCATATAGGGAAAATCAATGACCCCCTGGGGCGGGGCCAATTTTGACCCCAGGTCTTTTAGTTGAACAAACTTTGTAGACACTTACTAGAAGATGTTTTATGCCAAATATCTAAGCTGTAGCTCTTTGGGTTCTTTAAAAAGAAGATATTTAAAGTTTTTTTTGGTTGCCATTGCAACCAGAGTTTTGCATGGAATTGAATTCTTTGAACAATTTTTAAAGGTGACCACCAAAGGAACATTCCTGTGAAGTTTGGATGCAATTGGCTTAGTGGTTTATGAGGAGATGTCATTTAAAGTAAAAGTTTACGGACGACGGACGGACGGACAGACGACGGGCGAAAAGCGATCACAAAAGCTCACCCTGTCACTTTGTGACAGATGAGCTAATAAAAAGGTATGATTCCATTCCCACCCTTGACTAATACTATTGGTAATCTTATTGTAGAAAATTGCAATAAATGGCTACAATTAAGGAAGTGTATAGTTATCGAAAAATAAAAATAATGACCAACATGAAAGCTAACACAAGTAAAATGAGCGGACACCATTCTGACATTAAATGTCCCTGTGACCTTGAATTTTGACCTAGTGACGCCAAAATCAATAGGGATCATCAACTAGTTATAACCAATCAGTATGTGAAATATGAAATCTTTGTGAAAAATAGCTTTAAAGAGAATCAGGGGAATCTACATGGTCTACCAACATATGACTAATCAATAAAAAGGTTTTAAGGTCCCAGAGACCTTTGAACTAGTGACCCCAATATCATTAGGAATCATCAACTATTTAAGACCAATCAGTATGTGAAATATGAAATCTTGGTGAAAAAAAGCTTTAAAGATAATCAGCAGAAACAACACGGTCTACCAAAAATTGTCTAATCAATATGTGAAAGTTGTTTTCAAGATAATGATTGAAATCATTCCGTAATTTAAGGCCCCTGCGACCTTGACATTTTAACTAGTGACCCTAAATCACATGGTCATCTACTACATATGACTTCTGAATATGTGAAATATGAATACTTTATGATAAATGGTTTTCAAGAAAATGAGCAGAAACCAGCATGATATTTTAGGCCATTGTGCCCTTGACCTTTGACCTAGTGACCCTAAAATCATTAGCTATCATCTACATGTAAAAAGTTTCAAAGATAAAAAGCCGAAATGATTCTGACAATAAAGGCCCATGTGACCTTTACCTTAAAACTACTGACCCCAAAATAAATTGGGATAATCTACTATATATGACCAATCAGTATGTGTAATATGAAGAATTTGCAATAAATACTTTTGAAAACAATGAGCAGAAACCATTTTGACATTTGAGAGCACTGTGTGCTTGACCTTTGACCTAGCAACACCAAAATCAATAGGGATCATGTACTAGTAATGACCAATCAGTATGTGAATCATGAAGACTTTGTGATAAATTGTTTTCAAGATAAACAACTGAAACCATTCTGACATTTATACAGACCTGAAATAAAATCCCAAGGTATGGAGCTATGTGTCAATGCTGTTTGCCAAATATCAAGTTGCTGTGACAAGGAGTTGCTCAGAAAACTTTTACGCAAATTTCCCACCATTGATCATTAATGTCGAAAATTTAACTAAGTCAGTTAACAGGAAGTGGATGAGCAACAGACTTGAAATCGAGTCCCAAATTATGGGACCAAGTGTCAATGCTGTATGCAAAATATGAAAAGGCTGTGATAAGTAGTTGCTGAGAAAACTGTTAAGAAAATTTACTACCAATGACCATTAATGTCGAAAATTTATCTTAGTAAAAGGAAGTGGATAAGCAACAGACCTGACATCGGATCCAACATTATGGGACAATGTGTCAATGCTGTATGCCAAATATCAAGAGGCTTTGTTGTAGAAGTAGTTGCTGAAGAAACTGTTACAAAAATTTCCTACTATTGACCATTAATGTCAAAAATTTAAGTAAGTCAATAAACAGGAAGTGGATAAGCGACATACCTGAAATGGAATCCCATTGTATGGGACAATGTGTCAATGCTGTATGCCAAAAGGCTGTGATAAGTAGTTGCTGAGAAAACTGTTACGAAAATTTCCTACCCATGACCATTATTGTCGAAAATTTAACTAAGTCGATAAACAGGAAATGGACGAGCGACATACCCGAAATCGCGTCCCATGGTATAGGACAATATGTCAATGCTGTATGCCAAATATCAAGAGGCTATGATAAGTAGTTGCTGAGAAAAACTGTTACGAAAATTTCCTACCATTGACCATTAATGTCGAAAATTTAACAAAGTCGATAAACAGGAAGATGTTAGCAACAGACCTGAAATTAAATCCCACATTATAGGACCATCTGTCAATGCTGTATGCCAAATATAAAGAGGTTGTGATAAGTAGTTGCTGAGAAAACTGTTACCAAAAGTTTTTTCCCACCCGCCAGCTGCCCGACATTCACCATACTATATCCCGGGTTTGCACCAGTGCAACCCGGCCAAAACATGAACAAAAGGCAAAAACTCCAAAGTTAGGCAAGGCAGATTTATGGTTTGCTGCACTGCACTTCTATTCAATGAGATCTATCTATTACTGTAACCCAATTTATATTCGCGAATACAAATTTTCGCGTTTTGCCGAGGTCGGACATATTCGCGAATATTAATTTCCGCGTTTTCTTGATTTCCGACAAAAAAATATTCGCGGATTGGAAAGTCCGATGGGGCCGTAAAATCCATTTGCCGACTATTAATCTTCAATTATTGAGGTCATTATTGGTGTCTTAAATGGGATTAACAATACGCTAGCCTTATGTTGTATTGGTATGTGAATTGTGATCAAAATTCAGCAAAACATTTTCTCTATATATGTACATGTACGCATCGTTCGTCTTCATTTCTAAACATGTCGTTATTTCTATAACATATTTATATTTTGTACCCACAGTTTATCTAGAAAAATCTTTAAGGAATTCAATTTAAGCGTTTCATAAAAAAATACCTTCTCCAATCAGGGATCGAACCCACGCCGAGAAAATTATGTTATAATACAGACTGTTAAGTTTGACGGGTAAAAATCGATACTAGTATGAAACCATTTTGTATTTCACTGTTTGTAATACCCTTTTGTGATGCTCGATAGGTTTATACCACCTTTGTCTTAACAATTCACTCAAACAATTATTTTATACGATCCAAAAAACAATAGTCTTTTGTGATGCTCGATAGTTTTCCCACTTTTGTCAAACGATTTATTCAAACATTTATTATCATATTTAATAGTATTAAAATGTGGATGTTTATTTTGATTGCTATATTGACATAGAGTTCTTTTGATATTTATAAAATAGTAGTAGTTTACTTAGTTTGTGTTTTTATTGCTTTATGGCAATATTCATAACAAGTCATTACTTCCTAACAGGTGCCGGTAAAATTCGAATATATCCGGTCAAGAACCTTTGCATGAACAACGTCTAAAATAAAAATTTCTCTCCAATTTATTCGCGAAATCGTGCGGACTTATTCGCGCAAACAAATATTCGCGCTTCGTGGCCATCCGCGAATAAAGCGAATATTAATTGGTCGCGAATATTCGTTGGGTTACAGTATAAAGTTTTTTGATGATATCTCTTATAGTTTCAGAGTGATGTCATGGGTAAAATTCAAAGTGTAAAAATGAACAAAGGGCAATTGCTCAAAAATTAGACAAGGCTGTATTTAGGTTCTTTAAGATTTCAGTTCAATCCAATGAGATTTATCTACCTACAAAGTTTCATGTTGATATCTCTAATAGTTTTAGAGTTATGTCCTGGACAAAAGCAAAAAAGTAAAAATAAAGGGCAATAACTTAAAAATAAAGCAAGGCAGGGTTATAGTTCTTTAGCACTGCACTTCTACTCATTGAGACATATCTACATACAAAGTTTCATGTTGATGTCTCTTATAGTTTTAGAGTTATGTCCCTGACAAAGTTCAAAGTGTAAAAATAAACAAAGGGCAATAATTTTAAGTATTAGGCAAGGCAAAGTTACCGTTCTTGTGCACTGCACACCTACTCAATGGGATCTATCTACCTACAAAGTTTCATGTTGATACCTCTTATAGTTTTAGAATGATGTCCTGGACAAAGTTCAAAATGTAAATTAAACAAAGGGCAATAAATAAAAAATTAGGAAAGGCAGAGTTACGGTTCTTTGTGCTCTGCACACCTACGCAATGATATTTGTCTACCTTCTAAGTTTCTTGTTGATTCATCTTAAAATTTTAGAGTTATGTCCCGGACAAAGTTCAAAATTTAAAAATAAACAAAGGGATATAATTCAAAAATTAGGTCAGGCAGAGTCACAGTTCTTTTGCACTCCACACCTACTCAATGAGATCTATCTATCTACAAAGTTTCATGTTGATACCTTTTGTTGTTTCAAAGTTATGTCCTGGACAATTAAGTGGACGGACGGACGGACGGACGGAAGTTCTAACAAAAGAGTAAAAATGTGGCTACTCCATTGTTCTCTCTATTGTTCTTTTTAGCAACACGAATGAAAAAAGCCACATAAAAGCATTACAGAATGAATGACATCAAAGAGAAAAGTTACCTATTGTCCCTCTAGCCACGCAATTGCTGTTCTGTGAGCGCGGATGGACAAAGCGGCGACTATATGCTAACCCTTTTGGGAGCATAAAAGTTAGTATGAGAAATATGAAGACTTTGTGATGAATAACTTTCAAGCTAATTAGCAGAAACCATTTTGACATTTAAGACCACTGTGATATTGACCTCTGAACTAGTGACCCCAACTATGGTTTCACTGCTAGTAATGACCATTCAGTATGTGAAATATGAAGAGTCTTGAAGACCCTGTGATACATAGTATTGAAGATAATCAGTAGAAACCATACTGACATTTAAGGCCTCTGTGACAATGGCCCATGACTTAGTGGCCCCAAAGTCAAAAGGAGTCATTTTCTTAATATGACCAATCAGCATGTAAAATATGAAGACTTGGTGAAAGTTTTTGAGATAATGAGAGGAAACCATTTTGACATTAAAGGCCCCTGTGACCTTGACTTTTGACCTAGTGACTCCCCAAAAAACATGATAACAAACCACAAAAGGATTATGTATGATGTGTATTGTTTGCAAGTGTGATATATAGTATTATGTATATTAATATAGCAATACATAAATTAACAGTAATAATCAATGGTCATACAAAATCACTTGCAACTTTATCAACCTTTATTTCAGTTAGTAGTATAAAGGAACATTCAGACTATACATTTCTGTTGATAATATTTATATTTGAAATTCTTATGGACAATTTGCCCATTGTAGACCAATCCACTTAAATTGTATTGAATAAAATAAAAATATAAAATCAAATTTTAGTTTGATCATTTACCTTCGAACTCCTTGAGAAGCATACCTTTTACCTCATCAATGTTTTTCAGATATTCAAGCTGAAGGCGAATAGTTTTATCTTTTGAAGTAAATTCTATGTGTACCATTTCTTCCGTAAAAAAGGCAATGTCATACAAAGTGCCTTTTAGGTGCCTTTTTGAAGTAGGTGCCTTTTGTTTTAAGTGTTTGTTAACGTAATCAAATAAGCTATCAATGGAGATGTATTCTGTTCTCTTGTTCCAATAGGAAAAGCAATGCTCACAATCCTTAGAACATTCTCTTTTCTCTGATCTAGCCTTTAATCCTTGAATAACATATGTTGTAAACAAACTTCCTTCATCTTTTAAAATTGCCTTTTCACCCTCGCTGCATGCGTTTATCTGAACGAAATCTCTATTTCTATCTTTAAATTCTACCATTGGAGGAAAACAACGGTCAAGAAATATTATCAGTTTATCAATTTTGTTCAATGTTTCTAACTGTTCTTCAAAGGCAACTAACGATATATACTCTGATGATTTCCCAAGCCGAAACATGTTTCTTTCGGAAGACTCTTTATCTTTCCCGTTATCTCCATGGCACGAGATATATATCAATAATGTATCAATATCTTCATTTTTAGCAAAGTCTGCAATATGCTTTTGAATTTTTGTCCATGTTTCTTCTTTTTTGGTTTCCTTCTTTGTATCACACGGTACAACTGTTTTCACGTTACACTTACTACAATAAATGATTGTATAATCATTTTTTATCCAAAATCACAAAATTAATAGAATTCTTTTTTCATTTCTGCAATTGTTATTTTACATATCTAAGCAATGTATCAGACTAGACAACTCTGTTTTGTTATAAAAACGTGAAACTAAATTTTCAACAAGGTAGTGTACAAATAAATTTTGTTATCCCTAAACGGATAATTCATAGGTCAACATAGAAAAAATGGACAAAGCTATTTAACAAATCTAACAAGGTTAATTGTTTAAACTGTTAAATACTAGATTACCTTATACCAATAATGCGTGGTGCCTTCGAGGTAACTACTCTCTCTAACTCTAGTATTTCTCTCTTCATGACTGCTGCTTTATCCGGACTTTCATCATCACCAGCAACAAGTAAAGCTCCCCATTTACTGCCTTGGATAGAGAAAAGAGAATTGATATAAGTCTCATCATGGCTAAGAACATATCTATAATAAAAGTATCCAAAATGGAACTAACAGGGAAGTGAGTTTAATCAAGGATTATCGATATAGACTTAAATCAGATGTACCTATAATGATCTGTATGATGCTCCGACTTCTGGCTGCAGATTAAAGATGAATTTGTAGAAAAACAAGAATTTGTAACAGAGTTACCAACGTCCCCTGCATCGGGACAGTTATATATGAAGCATAAAATTATGCTATTTAAAAAGATTGAGGTATGGATCTCAGGACTTTTAGTCCAAAATTATGATCAATGCTAGATCTGCAAATTCAACCAGTTTTATTATAGAAATAAAATGAAAAACGGAATTTAAAAATCTATAATGTTAAGCTTTGACCTCTAAGTGTGACCTTGACCATGGAGGTAGGGACGCAGGTGTTGTAAAATCTATAATGTTAATCTTTTACCTTAAAATGTGACCTTGGAGGTAAGAACTTATGTTTCCCACCTGACATATCGTTTTATTATTGTGATAATTTGTGCAAAGTATTTTTAAAATCTCTTGATCTATGAAAAAGTTATGGACTGGACACAAAATATACCCTATAACAGACTATGTAAATCTTTGACCTCTAAGTTTGACCTTGACCTTGGAGGTAGGTACACAGTTGTAATGCATGACATATCATCTGATCATTGTGACGTTTTGTGCCAAGTATTTTCAAAATCCCCTAATCTATGAAAAAGTTATGGACGGGACACAAAACATACCACATAACAGACACTGTTAACCTTTGACCTATAAGTGTGACCTTGACCTTGGAGGTACAGGTGCAGGTGTTGTACTTGACATATTGTCTTATTATCGTGACTATTTGTGCCAAGATATTTCAAAATCCCTTGAATTATGAAGAAGTTCTAGATCGACACAATTTTATACCCTATAACAGACTATGTTAATTTTTTTCCTGTAAGTGTGACCTTGACCTTTGATGTAGGGATGCAAGTGTTGCTCATGACACATCTTCTTATTATAGTGACTATCTGTGCCAAGTATTTTCAAAATCCTTTGTTATATGAAAAAGTTATAGACTGGACACAAAATATACACTATAAAATACTTTGACCTTCAAGTGTGACCTTGACCTTGAAAGTAGGTCACTGATTTTTGCGCATGACACTTTCTCTCATTGTTGTTAACACTTGTGGCAAGTATTTACAAAATCCCTTCAAAGATAAGAAAGTTATAGACTGGAAACGACATATACCCTCAAATAGACAATGTTGACCTTGTTTGTTTGTTTGGATTTTTAGGGCACGTCAACACATTACCGGCCATATTGTGCCCTTGACCCTGGAGTTGGGGCTCTGGTTGTTTCGCACGACACATCGTCTTATCATAACAAACATTTGTGCCTAGTTATTTAAAATTCCTTTGATAACTGACAAAGTTATGGACCGGACACCAAAGTGTGACAGACGGACAGACGGATGGACAGACAGATTGAGCCTATTTCTATATCCCCCTTTTTCTTGGAAAAGGTGGGGGACAATAACCTATAATGTTTCTATGATAACTTATTTAAAGTATTTAAAGACTGCTATGCTTTGTATATCATATGAGACATCAACATGTACTGATTTCAACAAAGGTGCCTACAATAATTATATTTTGCGTCATACAAAATTGTATTTGAACGTGTTTGTTTAAAACAAATGTCCCGACTCATTTCTTGTTAGTCATAATTTTTCTTGTCCATCATAATTTTTCAAATAAGGGGGCCATTGACCCCAAATGCTCACCTGAAGACATACTGTTATTTGTGTAAGGGACAATCTTAACAATAGGGACAAACTTTGAACAACTATGGTAAAGGACCTATAGAGATATTTTGTTTGTTTGTCTCATTTTACGCCTTTTTCAACAGTATTTCAGTCATATAGGCGGGTAGTTTCCTAACCATCGTTCCTGGAGAGTTACACCAGTACTAGACAACCTTCCTCCGCGCTAAACTACCAAAGCATCTCCCGGGGATCGAACCCACGCCAGAGAGGTACCTGGATTAGAAGTCATCGACTCTAACCCCTCGACCACGGAGGCGGTGTATAGAGATATTACATGCCAAATATATAAGCTCTAAGTATTTTGACACTAGGGGCAAAATTTGAACAGCTTTCGTAGAGGACTTAAAATGCTTCATGCCATCTAACCTTTAGCCGTTGTCAATTCAGGGGAGATATATTTTAAGTTTTTACTATAATACATATAAGAAAAAATATATGACCCCCGAGGCGAATTTGAACAACTTTGTAGATGACCTATGTTTACATACCAGACTAGAAGGGTTTTTGTCACAAAAACATGTGTCACCCAAAACTATGTATGGTCACCACTCAAGTGAAGTTTTATTGAATCAAAGTAGAATGTGTGCAACCGTTACTAAGATAATGAACAGAAACTGATTACTGAATGACAGAACAGGGTAACACTATATGCGCCAGCCATTTTATGGCGGGGGCATAAAAATATCAAACAAGGCAAATTAAGTTGATGATTTATTTGTCAGAAACCCTCTTTAACTTACAAGGTCAATGTATTTTGATCTTTGACACTAAAATCTTCTAGCCACATAGACCAATGCACATATGAAGTTTGAATGTTAAGGGCCTATCATATGATGAAATATAGATCAGATACCGTTTTTACCTACACGGTCAATAATGTGATCTGGACCTCTGATGCCTTGACCCCAAAAATCAAACAAGGTCATCTTCTGACTAAAAGCAATGCATTTGTGAAAGTGAAGGTCGATGGTATTAGGGTTGTCAATTTCTTGAAAGGACAAGGCCAACGTGACCTTAACATTTGACCACCTAACTATAAAAACAATCATCTACTAGCCAAGACCAGTGCACCTACAAAGTTTTGGGCCAACATTCCATGGGCTATCAAGTTACTGAAATCATTTTTACCAAAATGGTCAATGTAACCTTGAACTTTGACCTTATGACCCTAATATCAATAGGGTTCATCTACTGGCCAAGACCAATGCATCTATGCAATTTAAAGGACAAGGGCCCAAAAGTTTTAGATCAGACACACTTTTACCTACAAGGTCATATGACCTTGACCTTTGACCAATTAACCCAAAACTAATCTACTGGCCAAGACCAATGCACCTATGCACTTTTAGGGCCAAGTTATTGATCGGAAAGCGTTTTTACCTACAAGGTCACTTGAGTGTTGTTATATTTTCTTGTCCTTCGGGATCATTGATGCCAAAATTTTATCGAGTTGATAATTGAGTATCGCTTAAGCCGGTGCTAGGGGGCGTGAGGGATGTTGCACTTATTCATTATCCCTCATGTACAGACTCAATCAAACCGAGTCTGCAATTCTTATGTTATTTTGTTGTGATTAATGCTTCCGAGGGATCACTTTGTTTCCAGAATTTTGATTTTTGACCCCAAAATCAATAGGGTTCATCTATTCGCCAAGGCCAATGCACATAGTAGTACGAAGTTTGAGGTCCAATAGCCCATGGGTTGTCATGGTATTGATCGAAAACTTTTTTACCTACAAGGTCAATGTGACCTTGACCTTGGACCCCTTGAACCGAAAATTCCTAGCGGTTATCTACTGGTCAACTAAGTTTGAAGCTTCTAGACCTAAGCGTTCTTTAGTTATTTATTGGAACCATTTGGTCTACGGACCTACAGACAGAGAAATGCAAAGCATTATATCCTAACTTATTTAAAGTTATGAAACAAAAACAATAACATTTTTTTATGAAAATGATATGTTCAAAGGAGGTTATTCTGATAAACTAGTGCTAGTGTTGATAACCTTGTCGTCTATGATGTGGTTGATAATCAGAAACATATATTTGAAGTTTGAAGTAATTACCTTAAGAAATAAAGAACTTATAGTAAAAAAGCATAACAACTAGAGCTCACCGACGCTCCGTGAGTAGGACAGCTCTTTATATACTAGAACATCGTATAGTCAAGATTAAAATGATGTGTATAATATCCACACTGTCATCTATTCAGTATTTTTTGTTAAATCAAAAATATTGTCAAATTTGCCCTATTTAAGCCTTTTTGTTGTAATAGCAACCAAAATTTTCAATATTATAAGAAGAAAAAACAAGAGCACCGCTAGGCGGAGCATTATATGCCCAAAAGATTTTCTTTTTAGTAAGGGTGAATCATTTGTAAGACATTGGAATTAAATAAAGTATTACCTCCTTCAAATATATATATATATATATATATATATATATATATATATATATATATATATATATATATATACACACACGGAATATTACGTTGTAGAAGCTTTCTGGGGCTTTGTATTTTTCTACGAGCAGCGGTGGAAAATTGATATCTCGCGAGACCGAAGGTCAATTTTCCAACGTTGCGAGTAGAAAAATACATAGTCTCAGAAAGCTACTATAACATAATTTTCCTTTTATTATATACCTTTTCGTTTTATTCAGAAAATGAAATGTAGTTGTCAAAAAATTAATTCATGACTGACGGATGAATACGTAATTCTTGCAAACGGGCCACGCCTTTAATAATTTTGGTTCCCGTTTCCAAATGCAACGTGATACAAAGCTAAGATCGGAACCAACGTCAAAAATAGTCCGGCACTTCCATATATGGTACCGTATTTGTCACTAACATAATACGGAAATTTCATCCGTTGAAGCGTATTTGCGCTTCAATATTTGCGTGTATTTTAGGGAGAAAATTTATAGGTATATAATAAATATATATATAAGTTGCTGTTTCCAAAGCACCACCATCAAGTTGTTAGTAAATAGAAATGCTATGATGGATAGACGGAAAGAAGCCAGGGGTATAACATAATGTATGCATTTTTTTTAGAGCATATAATTAATGTACTCAATAAAAGTGATCATCCTATGAAGTTTGACAGTTGTAAAACTGTTAACAATATTAAAGTCATTTGATATTGACCTTTGCCCTTGTGACCCCAATATAGATATGAATCTTTTATTCAATCATCGTATGAAGTTTATACACTGTAAGCTAAATGAAACTTGTGTTATGCTCAAGAAAGCATAATTTTACTGTTAATCCTATAAAATGTTACAACTGTAGGTTAATTAATACTCAAACTATTAAGCGAAAACTGTTTTCAGATTTAAGGTTAAAGTGACCTTTGACCTGACCCAAAAATAAATAGGGGTCTTCTACCCAAAATGGATAATCATCCTATGAAATTTGAATATTGTGGGCCAAATAGACCTTAAGTTATGCTCCGAAAACTGTTTTCAGTTTTAAGGTATTAGTGATCTTGACCTTTGACCTTGTGACCCCAAAATCAATAGGGATCTTCTGCCTAATATGCACAATCATCCTTTGAAGTTTGAATATTATGGGCCTCAAGGAACTTAAGTTATGCTTCAGAAACTGTTTCAGTTTTGAAGTAATAGTGACCTTGACCTTTGACCTTGTGACCCCAAAATCAAAAGGGGTCTTCTACACAATATGGACAATCAGTCTATGATGTTTGAATATTGTGGGCCACATGGAACTTAAGTTATGCTCTTAAAACTGTTTTCAGTTTTCAAGTAATAGTGACCTTGACCCTTGACCGTGTGACCTAAAAATTAATAGGAGTCTTCTACCCAATATGGACAATCAATCTATGAAGCTTGAACACTGTGGGCCAAACGGAACTAAAGTTATGCACTGGAAACTTTTTTTTAGTTTTAAGGTGAAAGTGACCTTGACCTTGAGACCCCAAGATCAATAGGGGTCTTCTACCCAATATGGACAAACAGTCCTATGAACGGACGTACGGACGGCCGGATAGACAGACAGACGGATGGACGCCAGGGGATGTAACATAGTATGCCCGAAATTCTTTCGGGCATATAAAAAATTTCGAACGTAGGATGGGGGTCCTTAACCCCCTCCCACACACATTTTCGCAGATACTTGTCCGTGCCTTGCAAAATTTCTAGGGAAAGGCCTGTAACATAATTTGCCCGAAATTGTTAAGATGTGCATACTCTCCAGACTGCCATCTACCTATATATCATGTTTCACAAAAATACTTTCAGTATTTTTGCGTTATCCCTGATCTAGTTTTTGTATTAAATTTGCAATATTTTCAGTCTATTTGTTGCCTTAGCAACCAAAGTTTTCAACAAAGGAAGAAAACAAAAACATGCATAACCTTCAGCCTGCCATCTAACTATACAATATAAAAAATTTAGTACTTTTTGTGTCATCTTTAGATCCAGTTTTGTGGAATTACAGACACACAAATGGACGAATGAACAAGCACCTCTGTTTCTGTACAGACAGACAGAGAGTAAACCTCAAGTCCCCTCCAGTTCAACCGGCAGAGGACCAAAAATATTAGCCTCATACCTTCAGAAAAGAAGATTTAAAAGTTTTTACTATATATACATAATGACGGGGTGGGCCAATTTTGAACCTAGGACTATAATTTGAACAATCTTGGTAGAAGTTCACTTCATAGTGTTTCATGTCAAATATCTTACCTCTAGCCTTTGTCAATTCAGATAAAATGTTTTCTTTTAAATATATACTTAAAAGGAAAATCAATGACCCCCAGGGGAGAGAACAATTTTGACACAAGGGCTATTATTTGAACAGTGTTTGTAAAGTTTGATAAGATGATGCTACAAACAAAATATCTAAGCTCTAGGCCTTGCACTTACAGAAAAATTAACTACATGTAACATAATGAAAATCAATGACCCCAAGACAGGGTTAATATTGATCCAAGGGCCATAATTTGAACAAACTTTGTAGAGGTCCAATACACAATGTTCCATGCAAAGTATCTAACCTCAATCCTTTGTCAATACACAGAAGACGATTTTTTTAGTTTTTACTATGTATAAATAAGGAAAATCATTATGACCCCCTGTGGCGAGGCACATTTTTGTAGTTTCATTATATGATGATACACATTAAATATCTAAACTCTAGGCCTTGCACTTTAAGAAAATTTTTTTTTTTACTTTTACTATATGTTACAATAAAAATCAATGACACAGGGCAGGGGCCAAATTTGACCCTAGAGCTATAATTTGAACAATCTTGGCAGATGTCCACTACACCATGTTTCATGCCAAATATTTAACCTATAACCTTTGTCAAAACAGATGAGATGATACTTTAAGTTGCATTTTCAGATAATAAGATTTTTCAATTTTTCAATAATTGTACATATTGCAAATCAATGACTCCCGGGATAATAGGTTTTCCTTTTAGGTATATAGTAAAACTTTGCCAATTTTGACACTAGGGCCAAAAATTAAACAACTTTTTTTAAGAGGACCTATAAATCATACTATCTACTAAATACATGTAGACAGTGCGCCATGCAAAAAAAAAAAAAACACTTGTATCTAAGCACTAGGCCTTTTGGTTCTTTAAAATAATTTTTTTGTCATATAATTTCTTTTGGTTGCCATGGCAACCAGATTCCTGCATGGAATCGAATTCATTTAACAGCCTTAAAGATACAATCATGCAAAATTGGTTGAATTTGAACTACATATTTTTTAAAAGATTTTTTATAGCTCACTAAATTATCTTTAGAACATGCACACAAATGTTGTGGTTGCATAAAAACAATAAACATAGTGATATGCATTAACATATATTTGTATAATCATACCTATCATGGATATCAATCTTGCTCCACAATAACATATAACTGGGTTTAGAATGCTATTTTTCTCGCAAGCAATACATACTTTTATCTTCTGAGTGCAGTTTGCATAATGATCATCGGTCAACGAAGATTGTTTAGCTGAAAGAACAAAAGCTTATATAAGACAGCCAGTGCTTACATTAAACTACAGCGAAGTGATAAATATAGTCACTCTGTATGCTGGATGAGCAATAATGGACTTTTGTTCATCTTCAGGAATCCTCGGAAAAGTGCATCACTTCAATATTAAGCCTTCTTAAAAATAGTTTCACCAGAGCTAGTTATAGTGCCCCGGTGACGTCCGTTTCTAAAAATGGAAGATCAGAAAACTAAACATTTGCTTCACTAATTTACATATAGAGAGGATTGACCGGTTTCCTTGTTTATGTATTTTAATCGGCACCAAATTTCAATTTCCGAAATAAATTTTTTGATTTGACGATAATATTACTCGTAATGTAACGCTGAAGGTCACTTTAAATACTTCAATGGTGTATAATGCGTTCTATAATTAGTTTTATAGTATTATGATAAATCATAAATTGATGTCTATGTATGATGATTGTTTTCATTTTAAAATAGTATTTTATTTATTGTACGCACTGATACTAAATCAGAATAACAATTGCAATTTCAATAATGTTCTGTTCTTCGTAACAAGTAAAATTTCAACCACAATAAACTTTTATCTACACATATACATCTACCCATATACTCTGGTATGTAAGTGATATGTATGTGCAATAGGTATAAAAAGAACCAAATTTGGCATGAATGTACTATAAGTCATGCTGATCAAACTTTTTCAGGAAACAATCATGAGAGTCCTGATTTCTCCTGTCAAAATTAGATGTGCTGTAGGTGTTACAGCAATGTGGTTTATTTCATAAAAAGAATATAAATCCAACTCCTTCTGTCTGATAAACATAATATTGAGCCATGAGAACTGCACAACTGTAAGAATCACAAATGGGCATACCTTTCAATTAATGATATTTATGGGGTCGGATTTGAACCAACTTACAATTAATGATATTTATGGGGCTTGATTTGTGCCAATATTTTTGTTGTATGTTTCAGACAAAAACACAAACATACGAGATCTCCCTGCGGTGTAAAAATATGGAATACTCAGGCCTGTACGAAAATGCCTACCCTGAATACACCCTGATTTGACATGGGATAAAAATTTTTATTCCTAGCCAGGTTGACTATAGAGAAGACAAAAATCTATTTATATAATATAAAGTGTTTTTAGAGTGGATACCACAAAATATTTAAATAAGCCAGAAAAAATACCGTCCTGAAATGTAAATCCAGGGCAAATTTGTTATTCACACAGATTTCTAAAAATTGTTTTTTTTTCTAGTTAAATTTAGAGAAATTTCAGGGTGGGGTGAATTTGAAATATTTAAATGAATCATAATACAGCCTGATTCTTGTTCAAAAAGTCGAGTCAGACTAATTTTCCTCCTGTAAGATATTCCCGACCCAAAATCTTGCAAATTCCACACTTAAATTTACAACAGGGCCAAGAGGACCCTATATCCCTCACCTGACCCATCAAACTCATCCGAGCAATTACTTAGACAAGCACCCTGACCAAGTTTGATGACAATTGATTAGCAAGAGGGCCATGATGGCCCTGAATCGCTCACCATAAACAACTGTTTTTACAGTGATTATAGAAATCTTTTTTTCAAATAAACTTGTAGAAAGACAAGTCCAGGTCAACTTCAACTTGCCTCTCTAGTTCGAAGGTTTCCAATCACAGATTGTTTTTTCCTTACAGTAAAAATGATTTGGTTTGGTGATCATCCATCGGTTAATTTTTGATAAAATTTGCCTATGACTGTCTTTCGAAATTGTGATCTTTCTTTCTTTTACTTATCTTAAAAATTAGATAATTACATAATCTCAGTATTTAGATATATAGATATAGATGTATACAGTTTGTCAGGATGACACCACCGGAGAATATTTATTTAAGAAACCATAGGTATATTGTTCACCTCGACCAGAAAGTTAACATTTCAGGTTGATTATCTTACTATCTAATAGAAATGGGTAAAATTGTAACTTTAACTAAATAGAGGGAAAATGCAAAAGTTTGTTTTGATCAAATGTATTCAGTGAACACTAAAACGGTAGCAAGACACCTCACCCCAAGACACTTCACCTCTCAAATTTTAAAGACACTTCACCCTTAAGACACTTCACCCCCCAAAATCAGTAAGACACTTCACCCCTCATCCAATTTTGTTCTATAAAGTAAATAAAACAAGTTGGTTAACAACAAAATGCTTATATATGTTTATATTTATTATTTTCAGTATATTTGATTAAAACTTTTGCATATTACCTTTATTTTTACTAAGTTTAAAGCTGATTTAGGTTAATTGGTTGTATTGCCACATGATATATCACAGCACTTTCATCCATTAAGTGTTAATTGCATGTCACCTTGTTTATTCCACAAGTTGATTAGTTGTTTATTCAACGGTTATCTCACAATTGATTAGATAATTGAATTAAAATGGCATAATTGTATGAAAATTAAATTTATTCTTAATAAATAAATTAAATAAATAAATAGATAAATAAAGTGAATATAAATGAATATAAACACAAAATAAACAAATGAGGGGTGAAGTGTCTCAATCAAATTTCTTAAAATGAGGGGTGAACTGTCTGAGGGGTGAAGTGTCTGCAAAAAAGGGCCTAGGGTGAAGTGTCTGGGGGGTGAAGTGTCTGTAAGCCTAAACATTGTATGAAACAGTGCATTATTACTTTCAACAAGTAATAACCAAGTTTGCAAAATGTGATTCTGAATAGTAATATTTTATTCAAGCGATTGCGGAAAATGGGAGCATCAGTGCCTTATGGACTACAAGCCTAGTTCTTTTTTTATTTCTGCAATTTTGAATGTTATGTTTCAAGATATTTGATGGCAATTGTTTTGTAAAATAATTAATTTGTTTGATGTTTTCTGTTTTGATTAATCCATATGGCGCCCGTTTGCAGTCCTTATAATTGCGACACATAGCTTTTTGGGGCCTTTTAGATATTAAATGTTAAATAAACGAATAGTCATAAGTAATGCAACTAAGTAACAGTACTATCAGGTTTACAAGATTAAAGTTCCAAGTTATACATATTGGCAATTCTTCGTGTAACAAATAGTGTTTAATTGTTTTCACAATCTGACTGTGAAATATCAAACATAATTATAGAAGGAGAACGGAAGGCATTTATAATGAAACCAATTCTATAATGTGCTTTAAACTGAAGTCTCAATTTTACAACTTGGAACTGGTACCAGAATTGAAGAAAAATGTGAAAATTATGCCATCAATAATACACTATAAACATATTTTGTGAGGATTTTGCCTAAAATATGTACTAACAGTTGATGTAAACCTGACTTTTTATCATGGTGCAGATCGAAAAATGCAAAAAAAACACAACAAATTTGCTTCAAATTGAAGCCTGTTCTAATACAAACAAATGGTTATACAATGTGTTTGATAAAACGACTCAAATACTGAAAGAGATCGAATATTCTGTGGCAAGCTTATATCCCCCCATAGACTGGTACATATGCCAAAGAAATTTGTACAGGAATAATATGCATGAGGCTATTTTATTTTTTGAATTGTGCAATAGGGTATTTGTCTTGGAAATGATGCCAAAAATGACATCATAGTCATGTGGTATTGCTTCACTGTAAATTAATATCAAATATTTAAATATTCTGTGCTAATTTTTTCAGGTGATAATGGAAGCATCTTACATGCTCTAATACCATTATATAGGAGTTATTGAACTTATGATTATCATTTTTAAAGAAAACACAATTTCTTTTCTGGGCCATAATAAGCCTTTAAAAAGATAACTTACCTATTGGATTTATTATACAATGATGACATGTTTCCTCTTGACATTCATATACATGTATATCAACTGCTTCTGTCCTCATGATGTCCTTAAATTAATGAAATATATCAACAATAAACAATAGCAATTAGTGATCACAGATGTTGCCTCATGAAAGTCATTTGCATACTGCAGCTATGGTAAAGCAGGAGACACAAAATCATCAACATGGCAAAACACATTTTTATTTCAGTTCTAGAACTCAGTCAAAAATTATTCAAATGGGAAACCCGTTCAATATAATTATGCAAGTGCTAGTACCTATCAATCCTAAAAGTTTCATTTAAATAGCATAAGTGGTTGAAGAAAAGTAGTCAACACAAACTTAAACTAGAAATTGTCACAATTAGTGCCGAATACGCCCCCGCAAACCACACGCACTTGTCTGATAACATGCTTTATAGTAAATAATTTGGCACATATAGAGCATACAGAGATTTAAAGATTTTGAAAAAAAAATGAATTATTTGTCCTGCATTAACTAGAACTATCACTAAATGTGATAAATACCCTTAGCAAGACTGCTTCAGAAATGAGGAAGTTACTAGTAACAGAATACCTTGTAAATGAATTATAATAGAATTATGGTTGTGGACAATTAAAGATAGTTGTGGTTCTTGGATGCTGAATTTCCTTTCACTGTGGTTGAGCATTAATGAGGTTTTATTAAATTACTCTGTAATAAGTTTAAAAAGACTAACTGCACTTTCTTTCATTTTGCTTGACCATTGTATGAAGTTGTATTGAATTCAAACAACTACTTTTGCGACAAGGAAAAGTAACAAAGGGCAATCACTCTATAATAATTCTGGATAGAGTTATGGTTCTTGTGCACTCTACTTCTTCTTATTGCGCTTGACCATTGTATGAAGTTGCCTTGAATTCCAACCATTACTTTTCAAGTTATGCGCAAGACAAGGAAAAGTGTCAAAGAACACTAAAAATGTAATAGGTCAAAATGAGGTTGTGGTTCTGTACTGCACTTCCTCTTAAAGTGTTTGACCATTGTATGAAGTTGTTTTGAATTCCAACTCGTGGTTTTCAAGTTATGATCTGGACAAGTAAAAAACAAAGGAAAAGTAACAAAGGGCAAAAACTCAATAATTACTCTGGATAGAGTAAACGTTCTTGTGCACTAATTCTGCTTGACCATTGTATTTATAAGTTACTTTGAATTCAAACCAGTAGTTTTCAAATTATGCTCCGGACAAGGAAAATTATCAAAGGGAAATAAGTCTTTAAACAGTCAAAATAGAGTTATGGTTCTTGTGCACTGCACTTCCTCTCAATGTGCTTGACCATCGTATGAAGTTGTATTGAATTCCAACCATTAGTCTTCAAGTAATGCTTCGGGCCGCGGGACCCACTGAGCGACCGACAACCGGGTTACTCCTATATACCCCCAAAAACATAAATTTCTGGGGTGTAATAAGATAAACAAGAGTTTGCTTCAGTATTACCAACGTCCCCCGCCTCAGTTTTATATGAAGCATAAAAGTGTGCTATTTCAAAAGATTGAGGTATGGATCTAAGGACTTTCAGTACAAAACTATGATCAACGCTAGATCTGCAAATTCAACAATAAATTTATTAAAGAAACAAAATGAAATACCGAATTTCAAAATCTATCATGTTAAGCTTTGACCTCTAAGAGTGACTTTGACATTGGAGGTAGGGGTGCAGGCGTTGTGAATGACATATCGTCTTATTATTGTAACTATTTTTGCCAAGTATTTTTAAAATTCCTTGAACTATGAAGAAGTTATAAATCAGACACAAAAATTATATACCCTTTACTTTGTTAATCTTTGACCTTTAAGTGTGACTTTGGAGGTTAGCACTTATGTGTTCTGTCTGACATATTGTCTTATTACTGTGATTATTTGTGCAAAGTATTTTTAAAATCCCTTGATCTATTAAAGAGTAATTGGACTGGACAGCAAAATACACCCTTTAACAAACTATGTTAATCTTTGACCTTTAAGTGTGACCTTGACCTTTGAGGTAGGGACACAGGTATTACGCATATCATCTTATTATTGTGACTATTAGTGCCAAGTATTTCTAAAATCCCTTGATCTATGAGGAAGTTATGGAAAGGACACAAGATATACCATATTATAGACTCTGTTAACCTTTGACGTCTATAAATGTGACATTGACCTTGGAAGTAAGGGTGCAGGTGTTGTAATTGATATAATGTCTTATTATTGTGTCTATTTGTGCCAAGTTATTTCAAAATCACTTGAACTATGAAGAAGTTCTAGACCAGACACAAAATATACATTATAACAGACTATGTTAATTTTTTACCTCTAAGTGTGACTTTGACCTTGGAGGTAGGGATGCAGGAGTTTAGCATGACACATCGTCTTATTATAATGACTATTTGTGCCAAGTATTTTTAAAAATTCTTTGTTCTATGACAAATTATGGACCAAACAAAAAATATACCCTATAACAGACTATGTTAATCTTTGACCTCAAAGTGTGACCTTGACCTTGAAGGTAGATGTTGCGCATGACACATCGCCTAATTATTGTGAACAATTGTGGCAAGTATTTACAAAATTCCTTCAAAGATAAGAAAGTTATGGACCAGACATGACATATACCCTCAAATAGACAATGTTGACCTTGAATAGTACTTAAAGTGCGACCTTGACCCTGGAGGTAGGGGTCTGTTTGTTGCGCATGACACATTGTCTTATTATTACAAACATTAAATTTAAAGTAATTTAATATTCCTTTGATCAATGACAAAGTTATGTACCGGACAAGAAAGTGTGACAGATGGACGGACGGAGCCTATTTTGATAGTAGGTCTTCGATTTTTTGGATTTGAAGTTATCATGACTTTTTTAAGGGCATTATGATATTTCTCCCTGAGATTTTTGCACTTCTACTCCATGAGATCTATCTACCTACATAGTTTCATATTGAAAACTTTCATTGTTCTAAAATTATGTCCTGGACAAAATTCAAAGTGTAAAAATAGCAAAGGGCATTAACTGCAAAATTAGGGTAGTGAGGGACAGGGTTACGATTCTTCTGCACTGCACTTCTACTTTGACAGAAAAGTGATCCTTATACTTATAATGCTGCTATGTCAAAAATTTATCACCTTATATAAAAACTCCCATAGTATTACATTTTATTGATACAGGTTGCCATGTGAAACATGGTGAAATAAGAGAAAATGTTGTTTAATAACTTGATATTTTAATGCTATAAATATGTGGTCTGACAGTTATTTTTTGGTTTGGCTCCATTAAAGACCCTTTCATTTAAGACAGTATTCAAATTGTTGCCCTTGGATGACGTCATTTGGGGATACAGAAGACATATTGCCGATATGACTAAGCACAAATAAATAGAGTGATAGATCTCTTGTAAGATTGGCAGATTGAAATTGCTAAAATTTTGTGTAATTGAATAAGATATTGCATAAAAAGGATGGTCAAATGAATAATCAAAGGGCTGCAAGCTCTGTGGTATTTTCTGATCTTTGCAATCTAAATCTGTATGTATTTTCCTGTAAAAGTTATTGTTATATACTACAATTCATCTTACAGGGCACCGAGATGCAGCGACTGCGTTTAGATTTTTACTATAACAGTTTAAGTTTGAAACATGACTAGAGATGCATCAAAAAACATTTATGTTCATTTTTTATGACAGCCACACTTTATCCTTGCATATCGTGGCTACTTTCTTAAAAAGACACTTAAAAAATAGGTGCCTTGACTGGGATTTGAATCCCAGACCTCTCACACCCTAAACGAGCGCGTACCCCTGCATCACGGAGAGGTTATACGATAAAAGGCTGAATAAAATCATATAATACTTAATTTAGAATTTCCATTTCGGGTTTGCAATCCTTATTAATATTGATTTCAAGGTATTTTGTTTACGATAAACCTGTTGTTTAACACTGATGTAAATAGTTTAGCGAAAATCTTCTCGCCAAAACAGTCCGACATGTATATATTCCACTACTCGACAGTCAGATTTATTTGTGTACTACGCTCTGCAGTATACGGACATCGACATCGTTAAAAATAGCATTCATTGAGGAAAATGGTATTCATCCGCGTAATTTGTGATTCTGCATTTATTGACATTTCTATAAGCCAACGCTTCTTTTAAACTTTGAATGCGTTGTAATTTGTTGGATACAAGTAACAAAATATAAATATTTCTTTCTTTTACATCGCTAGTTTTAAGCTGTTTTGATAACTACTTGTTGTTAGGTTTGTCGTGAAAATTCTGTGTCAGAGATTGAATGATAGCATTGAATTTCCTGATCTGTGATCAGAAAATACAACAAAAGGGCCATGATGGCCCTAGATCGCTCACCTGACCCATCAAACTCAACTAAACAATTACCTAGACAAGCATTCTGACCAAATCTCACGACAGGTGAGTCACAAATGTGACCACTACAGTGTTAACAAGGATTATCCATATTTGAGCAATGTGACCTAGTTTTTTACCCAGGTGACCCATATTCAAACTTGACCTAAAAATCATCAAAACAAATTTTCAGACAAATTTCCAGGGTATTTGGATCAAAACAGTAGCAACTAGAATGTTAACAAGATTTTTCTATTTTTAGCTCCGGTGACCTAGTTTCACATGCAATTTCGAACTCATCCGATCAATTACCTAGACAAGCATCCTGACCAAGTTTGATGATAATTGAGTCGAAAATGTGACCACTAAAATGTTAACAAGGTTTTTCCATATTTGGGCGGTGTGACCTAGTTTTTCATACAAGATGACCCATGTTCGAACTTGACTTAGAAATCATCAAAACAAACTTTCAGACCAATTTACAGGCTATTTGGATCAAAACAGTAGCCACTAGAGTGTTAACAAGATTTTTCTATTTTAGCTCCTGTGACCTAGTTTTTTATCCGAGACGATCAATGTTCGAACTCATTCGAGCTATCACCTAGACAAACATCCTGACCAAGTTTGATGGTGATTGAGGCAAAATTGTGACCTCTAGAGTGTTAACAAGGTTTTTCTATTTTAAGCTCTTGT